GTCAGGGTCCACCGAGATGACCGCACATGTTTGCGTGACTCTATATCAGCCGTCGCTTGACTTGGTCGTCTATGAATAGGAAAATGAAAGGAACTGGAAACAGATGGTTTTCGCGCCACACCAGAAGACACAGACCCATGGCTGGTTGCCCTGCAGCTGGACCGGCGACCAGGAATTACCGGCACTGGTGTGGCCTCAGAGTATACAGATGCATTGGATGAAGCTACATTTGTGCCTGCATCTGTGGGTTCGTGCGCCTGTTCGGCTTCCTCCGAAAGCTGATTGGTCGCAGCGGCGATGGTGGTGGTGACCGCCGCTGTCGTAGTGTTTGCCTGCAGCTTGTGCTCAGATTGTTGGCTAAGGCGCCGCATCTCTCTGATGGAAGGGCCAGGGAAGGGTGAAAATGGCCGCAGTATGCTGCGGCTCCGACTGGGGCGGTGACTAGACGGACTGCTCTTTTCTAGAACTGTGCCTTCGAAAAGATCCTCCTCGGGCCGCTCAGGTCGGTGTGGAGGGTAAGGAATTGAAGGCGGGTCTGTTGGAGCAGGTTCTGATGTCGCTGCATTTCTCTCACTGTTACCAACAGAAGAAAGCTTCCTGTGATGAAAAGCAGCATCGCTTTCATAACTGCCGCGCGAGAAGGAAGGAGTAGTTGGTGTCGAGACTGCGGGTTGTGATGAGGCGGAGGATGAAACTGCTGATAGGCGGCGAAGGCTTTTGGTGCTCCGCAGAATCGTAGAGGCAACGGAGTCTTTTCTCCTATGAGGAGAAAACCATGATCGTGACCGCTGTTGCTTCTTGTCTTTGGCTGAGTCCTCAGATTCGGCCGCAGACTCATTGGCCTTGGCTGTCTCGACCGCCTTGGCGCGTGAGTGGGAACGAAGCAGTCCTAGTCCACCTGACTCCCTGTGGAAGTCCAGCCGCTTTGTTAATTTGGTCATCTCGGCGAGTAAGTAGCCAGAGATGGAATTGAGACGTGTTGCAGTATGTATAAAATAGTAGCGCAAAAAGGCAACTGCGCAGGGTATCAAGAAGAAGAAGAAGAAACGGCGAACAGGTCGGGAGAACGCAGGATTGAACGGCCGAGTGAGATTGCGCGGAAGATTCCAACTCCTACCAGGCGCGGGCGATAGGAAGGGTGGAGCTGTGGGTAGGCATGGTAGTATCACCAAGTGTCGCTGCGTTGGCCCGGAGTAAAAAGAAGCGATTCGAGTTTGCTGTTTGGCGGATTGCGTGCGTTGCTCGCTTTCTCTTTGTGTCGCTGGATTTGTTCGCGCCGGGTGTTGGGGGTGAACAAGTAGCGGGCTAAGGAAGGCTAAAAGGACCTATGGCGTTTTTGTGGCAACGGCCGGCCAGGAAAAGAAAAAAGAAAGGAAAAGACAAAGGCCTCCACGATGGAGGAGGGGATTGGAAAGATTGTATATGTATGTATAAGGTATGTAGTGTGTAGGAGTGAGGCTTCTCGATTTGCGTGGGGAGAGTTGACTTAAGAGGCAAGTCCATCCATATCATGCCATGTCCATCATCCTTGGATCCCGGCATGCATTGGCCTTGGAGGCTCCTTCCCTTGCAACCACCCAAACAGCCAAAGGTACCACCTGTGCTGCAGCAGTACGATTGCAGTACAGGCAGTACGAGTACGGTACCAGGTACTTGTCCGGAGTACCTCTTGCTAGCAGTTTGGCCGATGGGGCTAGACCGGGGCTGCAACGAACCAATGGCTGTCATTGGAGCAATTGATGGCGTCTTGGTTGGGGGCAGGCACAAGGGCAGGCTGGGGCCACCTCGGAGCTGCTTTAGCTCCCAAAGCCAAGCCTAACCGAGACGTCCGGCCCGCCAGACCAGTCCTAGCGAGGAAGTAGTTTCTACCTGCAGCCGTGCTTGTTCGGTTTCCCTCTTTGCGTGCAATTTGGCTAATCAGGGAGATTTGCAGAGTTAAGATGATGGACGCATCTTCAGCTCGGGCTCACGATCCACTGGGAGAGACCAGATGCCCGTGTTCGTAATTGAACAGAAGCAAGCACAGCACGGCAATATGCGGCAGCACCGCTCGGAGCCAATAGCGCCCTTTTCGGGCTCGAAATATTGGCATTTGATGCATTCAGCTCTTGGGTTCATTGTGCACGGCAGTGGCGGAGTGGATCAAATGGTGGCCAAATCACTCTCTCTGTCTCTGTCTCTCTACTGACATCAAATATCTCTCAAAGATAGTGTAATCTATTGCACTGGATAAAGAAGGCGACGGACGCAACGCCGTTGCACGAGCCTGACGGAGTCGTGGCCTTTGACTTCCACCAGGTACATCCGGAGTAATAGGCGGCAATGGCGCTGTTGATTCGTTAGCGACGGCGGCCATTGCAGAGGTGCCCCTAGCTAGGCGGGTTAGCACCCCAAGAGGCCTAGCGCGCTGTAACTTGTAAGTAAACCCGCCCACAAAGGCACTTGAAGCAGTTCAGATGCCGCTTTGCTCCCCACAGAGACCCCCAAAAGGGCCCCAAAAGCTGTCAGCTGCTGCTACGTTGAGTCTCTGGGCAAGGACATCTCGCCGAGAGCAGTCGACAGTCGTTCATGGGCCATGCTTGATGCTACCTGTACATACGGATACATGTACGAGGACGGTCCGTCCATCTCCATCCCAGCTCTGGTCGCGGCCCCGCATTTGCGTTGCAGGACGGACAGAGAAGATGCAGAGAACTTGATATCGGTGCATGTTTCTTCTACAGTATGTACTGCATGTAGATAGTACGGCTAGCACTCGTTTACTACGGAGCTTGGACATGGAACATGGAACGTGGAGCTTTCAGGCAGCGAGTAATGGGAAGCAAGGGGAGGGCAAGTTGAATCAGAACTAACTCATTGATGCCAGACATGGTACATGAGTGAGCAAGGTAAGTCAGTACCAGGTACCCCATAACAGCATTGACAGTAAGAGTGCTAGGCGCATGTATTACGAAATGCCAACTTGAAGTGTTCCATGTCATGATCCAATGTTCTCGACTTCGCTCAGCTATCGCCTTAGTAGATGCTATACCATTTAATATTGCAATAGGTACTCTTGCTATTGCCAGTAGTAAATCCGCTACCATCCACCGTCATATATATTGCGGAATGGAGACAGTATATACTATTGCCAGCACTATTTGCCCACTGTGATCACGCTGATTGCAGAAAAAAAAAAATAACTGATCAAATGCGCAATCAGATACGGAGTACCGTCCGTGCCAAAAGTGCCCCAGGGAGCACGTTAGCACCGCTTCACCGTAAGTCTTTCAGTCCATCCCTCCGTCTCTGCTTGCATCAGTACCTTGGTTTGTCTCTGGCACACCTCCACAGACCACAGGTTTGCAACAAATGTCATGTTGATATTATCTACGGTATTATACTCGGTACAACAGGCGCATCACTTGGCCAGCTGTGCACAAGACGAGATGGACGGGCCGATGCCACCATGCGAGCGACTTGAACTTTGCCCGCCCAGTTGCTTCACATCGCGGGGTACGTACCCACCGGCATGGAGCATTCTGTAACTGCCAGTGGTTTCCGCCAAGGTGCACGATCCCCTTTTTTCCCTGCTTCTGGAAGGCCAGTGAAAACAAGGATTAATTGTTTGTGTCAATGTGTTTGTTGCCAAACGTTTTACGCCTCCGTGGTTATCTTTAGAAACAACATAATGCACAGATACAGTACTCGTGTGTACAGCAAAGTTCAAGCCCAGATCTGGAATCCTCCCTCCCCTACGGACCATCCCGGCTGACTTGAGTAGTGGCGCCCAGCTAATGGCGCTAGCGATTACGCTCCGTCGATGGTCCCCGCGAATTCAAAGTCAATCCAAGAGGCCTTTTATCCTCATCCGCTCTCGGTGAGTCCGCCACAGCGTGGCCGCCATGTCGCCTTAGCAGCGGCATCGGGGCCTTTTAGTCCACAAGGAATTACTCGTGTGTCCTCGTAGATGTTCGGCATCTGACGGTCAGTGGGCGAGACATGCGCTGAGGGATTTGAACGAGGTGAGGCGAGGCGAGGCGAGGCGAGACGCAGACGCTGTCATCGTTGTCGGTATCATATCCATCCTACCTGACATGCATGAAGTGCAAGGACCAACGGGGGCACGGAGCGAGTCGTGTTCTCTGCCTCATCCACATTATGCTCAAGACAAAAGAGAAGGGGATGCTCGAAAAAGAACAACTGATAAAAAGAAAATGGAAAAAATGGAAAAAGGAACAAAGGGAAAATAGGCAATGCAGGCATTTCGGCATCAGCGTATCCCGCTAGTGCCGAAGCAAGCACGGTCAATCGGAGGAATCAAATCGCAGCCCAGGCAATTAATCCAGCATCCATGCAGCCATCCTTCGGAAGCCGACAGCAGACGATCTGGGCGATTGACGGCCTGAGATGGATGCCATGCACGTACTTTGTACCACTCGGACTAGCAACGAGTCACCAGGCTCTTCCATCCACTAATCCTTGTCCCACAAGCGTCGGATCCCACGCTGCCAGCCAGCCGAACATGATTCGCAGCCGGCAAATACTGCGAGTACCTACGGAGCAGAATAGCCAACGACTCTTCCAATGACAATAGCCCAGCACAGCTATTCAGCCATGCTTGTCCGGGCTTACACGGCCACGTCGCCTGGGCCGCCAGCTGGGCCGCCCTTCAAAGGCAAATTGCCAGAAACGAAGGGCGGCCACGTTCAAAGACTCACAGACTCACTCAGCAAGCCGTTTTCATCTTACACGCCAATTAGTGCATGCTCCTACATACTCGTACATGGGCAATAGCCAGAGACAGTAGGTGTCATCCCCATTGTTACCCCTCACGTCAAGATAGCGCTGCCCACATGCGTCTGCCGAGCGACAACTACAGTACATACAACGGCGAGATAGTTCTAGATCCCGAGGCAGGCGAAAAAAGCAAAGCACGACAGAGCGGCCATTTCTTGTTTGCCTCGGCGGGGCTTTGAACATCTTTGCTGCAACCAGCTTGGAGGCGATCAAAAGGCCAGGATTGCTCATACTTGCATGTGCATATTGCCTATTGCCAGCTTCTAGCACCCAAACAAAGCAGCATGCAAAGCACACACATACTGCCGCATACTGCCGGTAGGTATGGATGGACACGGTTGTTCACCGAGTGGCATCCATGTCTCTTCTCTCGACCCAACCGCGGCAGTATCATCGTATACTCGTACTCTCTCACCCTGCTGCTGACGGATGAAACAAATTCGCATCCTACCGCCCAAATCGACCCCGAGGCTTAGAACAGCACCAAGCACATATCCGGCAAGTCCACAGCAGTCCGAGTTCCATGTCATACCAGCGCATCCCGCTCAATACGCTCTCGTTACTCTGACATCACCAAAAATCCATCGGTATTCCTTCTACAGTAGGTGACAACCACTTGGGTGGTCCGATAATAGCATCCGCCCCATGCCATTGTCCATGTCCCCATGCTATGTCGTGCGAATTTGCGTGGCAATGACAGGTAGCTTCTCACGAGGCCATGTTGCATCGAGCATCGAGGGTAAAGCCCAAACCTCAATCTGCCTGCTGCCTTAGTCCATCTCGCATGCAAGAAAAAAAAAAACAAGTAACAAAACAGCCGGGGTGGTTATGTATGATCGAAGCGGCTATTTCGCGTCGGCAGAAGAAGAAAGAAAAAAAATACCGCTCAGGCCATCTTTTTTTGTCATTTCTTGCATGCTGCCCTTGTCGAGAGAGGCAGCTCCTAGTAGAAGTTTTTTTTTCTTGCTATTTCTTGGTCCTATTGTTTTTTTTTTTCTTTTTCTTTTGTCTCTCGCACGCTTTAGCCAGACCTAGCGCCCGCATGTTTCGCCGATGAAACCACTTATTCCGGACATCTCGGTGTTTTATTTCGTTTAATATAAAGATAGATGCCTGCTGTGCTTAGTTTGTCAAATGATTCGACACCACGCCACTGAAACGTCGCAGGCTTATAATGGACTCACCATCGTAGCCATTTAAACCCCGGGGAGCGGGCGATGTGGTAGTATCATTACAAATGTACGTAATTACGCTATTTGACCTACCAGACCAGGTAACAAGCCTATTGTCATACGCGGGGAAGCTTTTAATAGCCAAGGTCACTGTGGAAACATGTTGATTTTGTTTGGAATATTTTGTCGATTCGAGTCCTGAGTCTATTCAAAGCGATTATTGCTGTAACTAATCCCATCATGCCGCCGTATTCCCTCCCTCAAAATAATACCAAAGAAATGCACCCCCAATGCTTGTAATCCATATAGTAAAAATCATATCCTCAAGTACAATCTAGCTGTAAATGCCCTATTCCGTCGTCGTCATGCCGAATTGTAGTGTAATCTGTCTTTATATTAGTAGTTAGGTAGCATCAACACCAATGAAACCAGCGCATTGAAGCTGTTCACGGACGCTCATACCAAATATCTCCTCCCCTCCATCACATCTCCCTTCTCTTCCCCATACCCTCACAACACCCAATTCGCCTCCATCATCCCCCTCGATGTCCCCGTCTTCAAAAACGAGGCAGCCGCATGCCTTGGGAACGTTACCCTCAACGCCTCCCTCTTCTCCGCAGCACCCGTCCCACCTTCAATCAGAGGCTCGCAGTCTTCCTCGACCCGGCTCTTCCCTTCTTCTAGTATCCTGACTGCCGCGTCGCTCGTCTTGTAGGCGGTGCGGTTGCCGCAGCACATGGTGAGCCAGCTTTTGATGGACTGGAGGACGTCTGCGTGCCATGAAATGGGGGGTTTAGGGTTGTAGAAGAGAGGGTTGGGGAGCTTCTCGGGCTCGGAGTCAAGTCGGATGCCTTTTGATTGAAACATTATGTCGAATGGGTGATATGCTCAGATAATGTAGGTAAAGGGAGGCACAAAGTTGAAGTCTTCCCAAAGCCGTCAACAACTAACACAGAGACATCGCTTTCGCCTATGCAAAATGTGTGAATAGCTTCATACAAGAAGAGAATAAAGGAAGTAGGATATAAAAAAAAAAAAAGCGCTTGTATGCCACGGGGTTAACGAGCTCTAAATAAAGAGAATCTCATCTCACAGCCCAACCTCCTATCCGCCGCTCAGCTGTAACAAGTCGGAATGCATTCCACGGACCTCCTAGGCGACCACCTCATTTCGCTTTGCAAAGTCTCACACAGGCGGACCTTGCACGTAATCTGGGCGCAAGGGAGTCATCCAAAGCATGCGAGAAACAGCGGGCTTTTGGTCTCAGTTGATGTCTCACACACGCGATAATGAGCTTCATACCGCGTCATGACGAGCCCTATCGACACATCCATACCTTATCTAGTGTCTGAAAGGGATGACTTCATTCTCGAATTGTTGGAAAAAAGGAGAACTAGGCATCGGCTGAGTTCGACACGTCATAGTAAAAATTAGAATGAAACTATCATGCAAACATGCTTCAATTACTCTGTACGAGAGGTGACTACTTCAATCATATGCTTCCGATTCAACATCGTCCTCTTCATCACCGTCATCGTGTGAGGCGAATGGAACAAAGCGAAAGTCCAGAAAACTCCTTTTCCCTCCTTCCACATCCACCATGAATTGTAAGCTCAGGACGCCCTGGCTGTCACCTCTGAGACTGACTTTGCTTGCAATACGCATCGCCTCGCTAGCATGCCTGATAAAGTCAAACTTGTATGCCTGTGACCAGCGTTCGTTGATGGTGAACGTTTCGAGTAGATCCTTTCCTCGAGCAAAGTCCACACTGGAGCTGCCAATGTCTCCAGCGCAAGAAAGGGTTAAGAATGGCGAAGTCTTGGTGGCTGTTATAGTCAGCTTGACGGGCCCCGCTGGTATAATCTCGGCGATGCAGTCAAACAAGGTACGGGACGACATGATGATTTTGAACGTCAAGTCATTACGGTCAAATGGAATATCCTCTGGCATCTCGGGAAGATAGGTTGACAGCGCTGAGGTAGTCTTGATGCCAGACTCTTCGAGTGTGACCTTGAACGGATCGCCCTCTTCGGCGTATAACATAGTGCAGGTCCCAGGTATGCCAAGAGTCTGGTTGCTAAACGCACTTGGCCTGTAGTTGCGAAAATTACTTCGGTATGGATCTTGGTCGGCCTTCTGAGCTCGAGCAGCCATGTCCACAGATCCAAAGATTTGCAAGATTTCGAGGAATGTCGATAATGGTATTTGGAAGTTGGGATATTCGGGCGTCTCGCCATCTTCTGACAAAGGAAAGTTCACAGTATACGCGGAAAACAGAGTCTTGTCCAGAAATGCAACCCCTACGCCTACTGTTAGCTCTGCCGCCTACGCTCTCAAGAGATCACTTCATTCTGATCGCACCTTGCATGACCCGCGAATTATCGGCCGCAAAGCGAATGCCATCTTCGGTGATCTGGACATGAACTCTCTGTGCAAAATCTATGCAGCGGAGAAGTTGGTATAGCGGCCTCGGAGATGTCGAGACCGCTCGAAAGACAGGCTTTACTTCTGCAGCCATTGTCGAAAAAAATGCCCTCTTTGGATGGGCAATGGTCAAATGTTGGGATAAATGGAACAGGTGTGAAAACAAATCTTGTAGGCGTAATGAAATGAGGGACGGCGCAAGACAAAACAACTCGCTCTGGGAGCCTTCTTTTTGCGATTTTCTTGCCAACTAGTATACAATGGGTATCTCAGACATAAACTCCGACCGCACAGAACATATAGACAGTTCCAAAGCTGTGACCTATTAGCATATACTTTCCAATTGAATGGCACACCAGCAGGGGAGCTGCTTCATACGCAATTGCAAGAGAGGCCGGGACACCGAGCGCAACGACGCTGACCAGAGAATGATCTGTGGCAACCCATGATTAGATGAATATCCCAACTTTCAGCATATTGGCAGAACTTACTCAGTGCAAAGATACCGGTAAAGGCGAGTCCCAGCGAGAGAAGCGCAAAGGCGACGGTGAATTGGCTTTCCTTAGCAATAACGGGGAGGAAGGGACTGCCAGCAGCAGATTGCCAAACTTGGTACAATGAGGAATCCATGTGCTGCGCTTTGTGCAACGAAGCGATTGAGGCTCCAGACTGCTTCTCACGAGGAATGGCAGGGAGAAAACTTGGTACAATCGGCTTCTCGTTGGAGCCGGTGACAGTCAATCAATCGCGAGATTGTTGGAGCTGGAGGGAGTGAGTGCAGTGAGTGCACAGCTGTTCATGTTTGATATCTGGCCGATTACGCCGATTGGGTCTAGCGCGATTCGTGGCACTTGAGCATCATGTAAGCAGCACTTGCACTCTGGCAACTGATGGTTGAAGTTGGCAAGAACGAAGAACCCAGAGCAAAACCTTCAGACCAATTAAAATTCATACTGATTCTCTGACCAATCTCAGGTTCTCTTGTTATCAGTATAAATTATAAGCAAGTTGTCTAGAAATTGGCAGCAATTCACTTCATCAGAGCATCAATTCCATCCAACAATAGGTAGCTCCCAATTTAGCCTAGTCCCTCTATGCGGCTCTGACATGCGGTTTCCCCCACAGCCAAATTACCTAAGCAGGACGCTCGGACCATGACCTCCCCCGAAACCGCGTAACGTCACGTTTATTGCTCCGTCTCTTACACATGCCATCTTCAACCTCTCCATAATTCCATCATCTCGCATTGATTTGATCTACCTCTCAAGGTCCAGCCGCGCTGGCGCATACCGACACCATGGCTGATGTGAAAGAAGAGAGTAAGTCGACAGGTATCCCGTTATTTACAAACCCATCGCATCATTAACGCATCAAATTAGGCGGCAAGCGCAAAGCCGAGGATGATCCCTCCTCTCCCACCTCATCTAAGCGGGTCAAGCACGATGAGGATGCCGTTGAGGAAGCAGAGCAGAAGCCCGTCGAGATGAAGCCAATTCCATTCCCTGAAAAGGTACGCCACATCCTTGGCGTCTCGCATCCACACATCTACTGAAGTGTGACGACTCTCTCATACTTACTCTTACTCTCACTTAGCCCGCCGTCATTGAAGAGCGCAATGGCGAAATCGAATTCCGGGTGGTCAACAACGACAACGAGCGCGAATCCCTCATCATTCTCACAGGCCTCAAATGCATCTTTCAGAAGCAGCTCCCCAAAATGCCCAAAGATTACATTGCGCGACTCGTCTACGATCGAACCCATCTCTCCATCGCCATTGTCAAGAAGCCACTCGAGGTCGTGGGCGGTATCACATATCGACCCTTCAAAGGTCGCCAATTCGCCGAAATCGTGTTTTGTGCTATCAGCTCCGACCAGCAAGTCAAGGGATACGGCGCGCATCTCATGTCACATTTGAAGGACTATGTCAAGGCGACAAGCGATGTCATGCATTTCTTGACATATGCCGACAATTATGCGATTGGTTATTTCAAGAAGCAAGGATTCACAAAAGAAATCACTCTCCCGAAACATGTCTGGATGGGTTATATCAAGGATTACGAAGGTGGAACTATTATGCAATGCTCAATGCTACCACGCATTCGATATCTAGAAATGGGTCGCATGCTCCTTAAGCAGAAGGAATGCGTTCAGGCCAAGATTCGAGCATACTCCAAGTCTCACAACATTCACCCGCCACCAAAGGAGTGGAAGAATGGCATAAAGCAGATTAATCCTCTTGACATCCCTGCCATCCGGGCATCCGGGTGGTCTCCCGATATGGACGAGCTTGCCCGCCAGCCACGCCACGGGCCCAATTACAACCAGCTTCTTCATCTGCTCAACGACCTCCAGAACCACAACTCTGCTTGGCCATTCCTCGTCCCGGTCAACAGAGACGACGTGGCTGACTACTATGACGTGATCAAAGAGCCCATGGATCTCAGCACCATGGAAAGCAAACTGGAAGCCGACCAATATGCCACACCCGAAGACTTTATCAAGGACGCCAAACTCATATTTGACAACTGCCGCAAATACAACAACGAGAGCACGCCATATGCCAAGTCAGCCAACAAACTTGAACGGTTCATGTGGCAGCAGATCAAGGCCGTCCCGGAGTGGTCACATCTTGAGCCGGAGAAATAGAACATCTCCCAGGATCCACACAACTTGGGAACTATAGTATGTCTTCTATGATATCATGATACGAGACGCTTGCTATTTTTTATGTTTCTTTCTTTTCTTTTTTCTTTAACAATCTTTGTTGGACCTCTGTTTGAACCCCAAAAGAGCAATGGCGTTTCGGTACAGGCGCAGGCACGGGTTACATGGGCAGGTTTCACAATTGGTATATCATTATTAGTTGCATCCCCGAAAGCAATATCGGAACGAAAAAGCTTCAAATGAAGGAAATTTTGCTTAGGGTACCATGGGCCGCATTATATCAAGGCTCTATCTTAATATTGTACTTACAATTACATCACGAGAAATTCAAAACGTTTAGAGAGACGAAATCTAGTAGTGTTAAAAGCGAAGTGAAAGACACATGCCAGATGTGCCAATGGACCTCGTCGTATTATTGTAGCAATCCATCTAAATGCTCCATCAAGTCCTTTGCTTGTATCTCTCTGCTAACAATTTGTTTTCATTTCCTCCTCAGCCTACCTTCCTTTTCGAAAGTCTCTGTTAAACCTCCTTCTCTCTTAGGTACACACGCATATATGCCTATCTACAAGACTCCGACGCATGGCTGAAACGAAGAAGAAAAAGGTAACCTCTCAAATCAAAAAGACAAGAAAAAAATAACTGAGAAATGAACCGTTATACGCGCTTGACCGCCTAAACTCCTGGCAGGAAAAAAAAAAGGGTACATGGAAGCAAAAAAACAGAGTAACGTCCCCATACGCTTGACAAAATGCGACCAAAGCGCAAAACTATCTCGCTTAAGGTGAACGGGATAAAAACATCTATCTAGACAATTTTGAGTGTTCTAAGAAATGCAAGATGTAAATATCTCGCTGGAGTCCCTCGAGTTGTTCTATCAGCTCGGAGACACCGCATCGTAAGAGTGTGTCGTCTTTTGGGCTTTGCCCCTTTAAGCCTGTCTTCCAGATTGGCCTGTGGAGGATTCCCCTGCCGGTAGTCGTAGATCTGAATACGTGCGCCGTGGCCAAGGGATGTGATCGGGAGCAGACTGCAAGGTAGACCGCGTGGCCGAAGTCAAGATGTGCTCGCTGCGAAGGGAGTTTTCGTTGTCGATTGTGCGGCGGAGCAGCGGCTGGAGGAACTCGGGAATGTCCGACCACTGGCCAGCCCGTGCCATGAGCAGCATGTCGTCGGGAAGAAGGCTTGCGGCCATGGAGCTAGACGAACGGGACTGGCTAAGCATTTCCTCCGTCATCCTCTCGGTCAAGAGGGCCAGCTCGCCGCTCTCAATCGCATTCTTCAGCCACTGCTCCCATTCTTCGTCCAGGACGACGGATGTGTCACCAGCTTCGCGCCGGGCAGCCTGTGCGCGCAGACGCTCGTTGAGCCGCACACCCACGCTCGCAAGCTCCTCGTCACTCTCCTCCACGTCCATGTTTTCGTCGTCGTCCAGGCTCGAGATGTCAATGGTGCTGATCCTGACAGACCGCCCTTGGGCAGACGGCCGGTCAGGCTCCGTCCAATCGGGGAATCCATCGGCCGCGGTGTCTCTAATGACGATGCCTTGCTCCTTTTCGAACTTTTCCTTTGCCCACTTGGTGCCCTCCCACTTGGTGAGGGCAGAAATCTCAGCGTGTGTAAGACCCAGGCTGTCGAAGGCTCTAAAAAGACGGCGGTGCCATTGCCAGCGGCTGAGTCGGATGCGGTGAGTGCGATGGGTGTAGTCGAGCCCGGGATACTTGGCTTCTTGCGTCTCGAGATGGCCGTAGAAAGCGTGTGTCTCCTGGCGGACTTCGGGAATGAGGCTGCGTTGAAGGAGAGCTTGGAAGTCCTGCGGATCGAAGGTCTTTGGCCGAGGAAACATTTGCTCGTACACGAGCTGGTCGATGGGTTGGCCCTTCATGGCTGCGGTAGGCGCTGTGGTAGATTCAAATCGAGGGGCGTATTGCACAGAATTTATCACGGCGCCACCAGTCGTCTGATCGTCGCGGCTGAATCGGACGACGAAGCGGCTTTTAGCAGAAAGATGCCGGTCGAGTGTTGCGTAAATTGGCGATTGAGCGAGGGCGCCGCAAGGGAAGTTGAGTCAGGAGAAAAGCCTGCTGTTGGAAGATGTTGGCTTGCTTTGTACAAGGGAAGATGGACAGATGCAAAGCCAACAAGGCACCGAATGCGGGCGGACTCGGGTTGGCAGTGCTGGGACCGCTAGGAATGAAGACAATGCCTCCGAGATTATTTCTGGGGGCTGATCCGAAAGAGTGGCCGCGCACGGGACAAGGAGAGCCTCTAAGGGGGGAAGAAGGACGCTTGGGCAAGGTCAAGGTTTGAGGCGGGAGAGACGCAGGCAGCAGTTGTTGTACAGCCGACGAAGTTTGTTGTGCGTCTGCTCCGGGTGAGGGCCTGAGGATAGGCAGATAATGCTGCTGTCGTGGTGAAGAAAGATCCAGTGAGTGACTTGAGTGAGTGCTACTGCTACCTGGCTGGAGTCCAGCGAGCGACGGAGTGGATCAGCAACTGCATGACGGGCTCCGTAATCTACAGCGCTCCGTACAGGGGAATAGAATAGAAGGCCGGGGAAGAAGAAGAATGCACCTCAGCTGGGTTAGAGGTAGTGGTACTCTCACTATAGTACCTAGTGGTACTCGCGCGTCAATGTGCAGGTGCCTACTGTACATGGAGTACATGGAATCAAGCGGCAGCAGTAGGTACATGAGCCATCCTGGTCGTCCCAAGGCTTGGCTGGAAGCAGCAGTTCGATTTGATCGTGATGGATTGGTGGGCTGGCCGTTGCAGGCGACAGGCACCGCTGATTGGGTCGGTAGCAACGAAGGGCCCCTGTTCTTGCGTTGCTCTACTGCACTTACTGCCTGAACCGCACATTAGCAGAATATCCATTGAATTTGATCACTTGCCCCAGTACAGTTGAATCATCAGAATGCTTTTTTTCTTTTGCTTTCTTTCTTGCAGAAAAATATCCAAGCACACATGCCAGTGGCCTTCCTACCCTGTAGAGATGAAACACGTTCATGGATAAGTTTCAACTTGAGTAGTGAGAAGAGCTCTGTATCGTATGAGTACGGAGTAGGTACTCAATCATTCTAAAACTTCAACTTTCCAGGTGCGCTCCACTGCTGTAATACGAGTACAGTAAATCGTCGTCAGCGTACAGGTAAGCATTGGGCACTGCAACTACAACTGTAGCTGCCTGACTGTGTGACCTTTTGCGACGGATCCGGCATCTTCAACGCTCCGAGATAAAACGACTCGGCTTGGTGCGGTTCGGCTTCGGCTCTCTCTGCGATGAGTAATAATAACTGACGCCTATTTGGGGTATTGTTTAGTTGATACTCCATATCTCCGCTGCGTGGACACATGGCCCTTTGGTGAACACACGAGCCAGAAACATGTGCTTCATTGTGTTAGTATCAGGCCCCATGAGTGTGCTCAGCTGTTGAGTCATACCGAACACACCTACGTGTATCTTGCCCATAACACCATAGTAACAATAGACTTGCGCAATCTTGTATGCTGGCCTCTTTAATATCTAGACAGCAACATCAATGTAGTAGTTCCAAACGTGGGGGGCTATCTAATCTCGGCCCCGGAGATTTCAAGAGGCGTGGCATCATTCTTAGTGGGCAACATCAAGAGCCATAAAGACAAATTTATACAAGTCCTTGGCTTCAGCCTGGTCGGATTGAGGTTTTCGTCGTTTGCAAAATCAGTGTTCTTGATCTTAGGTAGAAATGGAGCAAGGGCAGAGAATCAAGATCCGTACAACGCTCCCAATCATCCCGCCCAACGACGCTCGCGATGAAATACACACTCCGCGGCTCATCATCCGAGCACCACGCATCTCAGACGTACCCGCTCTGCACAAGCTTCGCATCCAGCATGAAGTGATGAAATATTCCGTCGATGGCGCGGACAAGACTCTCGAGGACACACGCAGGAGCCTGGACGTGATGCTCCCCCCAAACGACATTAAAGGTTACCGCTTTCACATTTTTGAAAAGGACACCGGCGATTTGGTCGGCAAGGGCGGCATGCGCAGTATCACAGGGCGCAACTTTGGTTGGCCAGAGGTTGGATACTCATTCAAAGAGGAGGCATGGGGCAAGGGATACGCCACCGAGTTCCTGACAGCCTTCCTCCAGAGCTACTGGAGTTTGCCTCGCAGCGAAGTAGAGATTGAGGTTGATGCGACGAGCCTAGATTCCCAAACGCTGGAGACGGGTGATGGCTCGTTTGTCGAGATGCTCGTTGCCGTGGTAGACGTGGGAAATCCGGGAAGCAAGAAGGTGCTGGAAAAGACGAAGTTTAAGCAGTTCAAGCAGTGGACGACCATAGATATCCGGCTAGCTAACAAGGGGGGAGATGTCACCTTGGTGGGATTGATGGCAGTGGCCCCAGCGCAAGAGCGAAACTGACGATGGTTTCTTCTCTTTTTACTTGGTGCATGTATGACAACGATGGGGTTCTGAAATGGGCCATTTTTGTTTTGGATTGAGCTCCTCGTCCCATGTCCTATCAACAAATTATTCATCAAATATTACATAGTAGAACTGTATAAGCCATGGAGTATAACCAGCGAATCTTGATGTGCGTGCTTGACTCAACATCGTGTTAATAAGCTGGCGCGAAATCACGTGTAGCGCTTCCGCCTTAATTAATCGAGCGCGTCCCAGCGCGTCGCCTCGTTTCCCACGTCACACAGCAGCCATCAGGTATCACCGCCTCTTGCAGCCCTTCCTTTTCCTTCCACCGCCAAACTCTGGGGTTTATCTGCTCCCTTTATCTCTCCTTGATACAACCTTTTTTTTTTCTCGGCCTTGTTCCTGTTTTCGACCCCGGAAACAAACAATGGGGTCTACGTCCGTACACGAGGAGCACCAGTACCTCAACCTGGTCCGCGAGATCTTGGACCAGGGTGAGCGAAGACCCGATCGGTAAGGCCTCGCTAATAGGTGACATACATGACATGCGGCTCTCATGTACTGACGCTTTGTCCCCTCCCCCCCAGCACCGGCACCGGCACCCTGTCTGTTTTCGCACCCCAGAGCTTCAAGTTCCAGCTCAACGACAACGGCCGCCCCATCCTCCCTCTGCTCACAACAAAACGGGTCTTCCTCCGCGCCGTCATCGCCGAGCTCCTCTGGTTCATCGAGGGCAACACATCCTCCCTCGCCCTCAACGACGTCGGCGTCAAGATCTGGGACGGCAATGGGTCCCGCGAGTTCCTCGACAGCGTCGGCCTGACCCACCGCGAGGTCGGTGACCTGGGCCCCGTCTACGGTTTCCAGTGGCGGCACTTTGGCGCCGAGTACGTGGACGCAAAGGCGGACTACGCCGGCAAGGGCGTCGACCAGCTGGCTGAGATCATCCACAAGCTTCGCAACAACCCTTACGACCGGAGAATGATCCTCAGCGCCTGGAACCCGCGAGACTTCAAGAGCATGGCCTTGCCGCCCTGCCACATGTTTGCCCAGTTCTACGTCTCGTACCCAGGACGCGGACGGGGCGTTGACGCCGCAGAACCCACGGAAGAGAACAAGCCCAAGGGCCACCTCCACTGCCAGCTATACCAGCGGTCTTGTGACATGGGCCTCGGCATCCCCTTCAACATCGCCAGCTATGCTCTGCTCACACACATGCTCGCTCACGTGTGCGATCTGGTGCCCGGAAGCCTCACCCACGTCATGGGAGACGCACACGTCTACATCGACCACATCGACGCTCTCCAGACACAACTGGAGCGCGAGCCTCGGCCATTCCCCGAGCTGGAGATTACGCGGGAAAAGGGCGGCAGCATCGATGGCTGGAAGGTCGAGGACTTCGTGGTCAAGGGCTACGACCCCCACAAATCGATTCCCATGAACATGTCCGTCTAACCAGACCTTGATGGGCGACGGAAGATATTGAGATTGAGATGAGGATAGAAACAAAAGCCTGCTGGCTAGATTAAAAGACCAGCGAAAACCCCCTTCGCCACCAAAACCTTGTCGCATGTGCAGCATTTTGGCCGATCCCTCGTCTGTTCAGTGGCAGATGGAGGCTTATGAGTGCTGTTCCTCTTAGGGCTGGTATTCTGTTCTGTATCTGCTGCGCCGGGCATATTTGACCGCCGCGCAACGGACCAAACTGCAGGGGCAGCAACAGGGATAGAGCGGAATAGCAACCTCCCTAATGTAAAGAGCATTGATAAGTCTTCGTCTGCCACTAAACAGATGGGTCGTAGCCGCAGCGCTGACCATGGATACGATGTGCATTTTCTTCTCTCTCTGTGTTCATAGGGAAAGAGGCGGAAAGACTTGATACCAAAAATTGTGCATGAGATTGCTTGCCTCCAAAGAGACTATATAGAGCTAACAGATTACATGGAGAAACATATAATGGTACAGAAAGTCAATGAATCGAGGCGTTACAGCCATTTTAACCATTGCTGTTATATATGTGCGTGTCTCTATATAATCGCGTTGAATGTTGCCAAAAGAGAGATGGAAAGAAGAGACAATTTGAATAAAATGAAAAAATGAAAAGAAAAAGGCCCCAATCGCTAAACTCCGTATAAATGATTGATATCCGTCATCACGTCATAAGAATTGAAAAGCCCTCTCCTCTCATCTGCATGAGGGCATGCTTCAGGTGTAAGCCGATTCCTGGTATCGCCGGCTAGGCATTCCTCCGTTTGACAAACCCTCTTCCATGGATCGTCTATCCCACTTCCTTTCCCTCATGCGATCTCTGTCTCGCATATCCCATCCCGGGTCTCGCCGCCTGTCGGCATCGGCATGGCTGCTGGTGCGCCGTCCTGGATCCGGACGAGCCCGTGGGTGCCGCTGCTGCCGGTCCCTGTGCCCGCCAGAGTCTTGGTCGTCAGGACGGTAGCGTTCTCGCTCCAATCGTTCGCGATGGAGGCGCTCCTCCTCGCTAGAGTCTTCTTCTGATATGCCGTCCGAGGCAAGATCTGAGTGGTTCTGATTCAATCGGGATGGGGGGATGTGCTCGCGACTTCTCCGCACGCGGATAGGGTCGTTGACGGAGCTGTGTCTTGAGCTGTTGCGGCTATGACTGCCTGGGAGTATGTTGGAAACCGTCTCCGAGACTTTGTCCCTAATGTTGCCAAACGGGCTAGCCCTTCTCCTTGCATCTTCAGCCCGACTATCGCTGCGATGGGTCCGGAAAGAAGGAACGCTGGAGCCCGCCGACGGTGGAGGCCCTGATGATGGCGGGACAACTCGGCGAACGCCGGGAGTTTGGGGTGAGCCGGCACGTTGTCGCTGCCTGGCTCTCACATGTACGGGCTCATCCACAGATTCATCGCCTGACGACTCATCAGACGAGTGATGCTGGACGTGGCTGTGCCGACGGCCTTGGCCGGGTCGGCTGGGCGTTGTTCGGCTGGGATCTGGGTTGAGATAGGTCCCGGAGTAGCTATGGCGGATTCCGTCTGCGTGCGGTTGGCGCGTGGAAGCATAGTCGGAAAAGCTTCGACGTCTGGAGGCGTCATCGCCGGGTCTCTGGCGGCGAGGTCGTTCGGGAGAACGCATAGGAGGCCTTTGGCCGAAATTAGCCCCATGTCTTTCGCCTGGACGGACATAAGTAAACCTTTCGGACTGATTCGGATCAGCAGCCCTCGATCGAGGGGAGACCGGACGGAAGGGATGTGCGGTATGAACGTAGGCAAACCTGGGGGCGGCAGGTTCTGGAGAGGGCCCGGGTCGTGACGCAGAGCTGGAGCTGGGCATGCTTGCTTCCTCTCCCTCCTTGAACGCTTCGTCGCGCAAAGTATCGGCGCATTGCTTGTGCCAGCGGTCGACTGCCTGATCCGATTGTGCGGGAAAGACGCTGGCGGGAAGGTCGGGAGGGAAGGCTTGGCCTGTCTCGGGATGCCTCAGGGCCCAATGCTTGACAGCATACTGGATGAAGGGCACATGCTCTTCGGGCCCGAGAAGGATCTCTACCGACTCCCAGCGCGAGAAGCCCCGGGGCGTTAAGGCAGGGATGGAAGGGGGCGCAAAGTCGTTCTCAGTAGGTTGCAGACTGTGCTGGCAACCCGTCACTGACCACATGTAGGAAATGGTTGAGTGAGGAGTCTCCATGAATAAGGCTGTTGCGGCGAGTTAACACATGAAGCGCAATCCTGTTGTCGCCCGCTTGCTACCGACGTACAGTCATAATCACCACCCACGGCTTTGTAAAACGCGGCGAGCTTCTTGGGAGTAAGATGAGAATCATTCTTGTCGCCAAGCTCAACAACCTGTCGTGAAAACCATTAGCTGTGCCGTTTCTCTTGGCCATGTCGGGTCGGATGCCAAGGCATACGATAAAGCGCGCGATTGATCTCAGCAGAGCATCAAACTGCATTGTCGGACTCTTGTCTGTCTCGAACATGTAGGCGTACTTGATGGGCTCCGGCGGCGCTGAGCCATTCGATCGCGGAACGGCCATTCTGAACGGCGACTGACGGCGAGAAAGGCTCGCATCCAAGACGGTTTGTAGGCTTTTTTTCCAGGAACAAAAAACAAAAGCTGAGAGGCAGGAAGCAAAAGGTGGGTGGGAGATGAACTGATGTCACTAGCTGCGGCAGGGCCCGGGCCTGGAGTCAAATAGGTAGGCTATGGGGGGTGGGTTGGCTTTGATCAGAGGCAGTCAGCCAGCCTAGCAAGGCAGTTGTGCGCCACAAAGGAAAGACGAGCCGCAGGAAGAAAGAAGACAAGCGAGAAAGGGAACCTGGAAGAAAAAGAAACTGGAGACAGAAAGGCTCGGCTATGCCATGGCAAAAAGAAAAAAGAAGGCTGGCGTATCAGAGGCTGGCCAGACCGAGGCAGATGCTGACGCCCAGGCACTGGATTCCAGCAGATGCGACTCCATCATGACCAAGGCCACGGCCGTGATGCTGGTGACCAAGGACGAATGGCGCAAACGGCCCCTCACGGACCCTCACGGGCTGACACGTGCGTCGTGGCTGCAGGTGGTGCAAAGGGCGGACAAAGGCGAGGCATGTCGACTAGCATGGGCTAGGGTTGACTTGTGCTGCTGTGATTGGGGCGAGCGGTTGATCGCTTTGGTGGTTAGCTGGTGCAGCAGATTAGTGCGTGCGTTTTGCCTTTGCAGTGCATAAAGAAGAAAAAAGCTGGGCTGAGAATGATGTCACAGATGGAGAAGAGAGAGAGAGGGAGCGGTGATGAAAGAGTTGAAGGGATGAGTAGCATCACGTCAGGCAGAGAGTGATGAAGACGGGGGAGTTTGAAGAGAACATGGAAGCACCAGACAAGCCAGACTCATTCATTCAATGTATTCCAGCGGTGTTGGTGAAGGCAATATTGGCGGCTACTGCCTAAGTCCAGTGCCCAGCCTGCCTATCGACTCCATCAATGACCTGCCCCCCCCGTCCCTCATCCCGCCGCTAAGCCCGCTGGACTCCGGCTGATCGCCTCTCCAGCTGCCTCCCTCCGGCCCACTGCCAGCGCCATGCGGTCAATGCAGGCAGGCGGTGGCAAAGGATGGGCAGGACTCCAGATGTTGATCTGGGAGAGGGTTGGGGCATAGATCTGTACTACAGGTATCTATGGATAGGTAATTCCATGTAGAAGAAAAGATTACATTGTACTGCAGTGTATATTCATCTCAATCCACCACCTCACTTCTGTATGTTTTCCAGATTATTCCACAGCCAGTTCAATCCATTTCCTTTTCAGGCCCTTGGACGACTGAATCGCCTGACAAACGCCGCAGCTGAGCCACACCAAAGTCGCAAGGCCCCCCCGCCATAACCTGATGTCATCCAGGCACAAGCGCAATCTGGCCTGAACTTGACCAGGGCTCGGACAAAGAAGCGTCGCATTCCGCACAAGGAACGAGAACGAAGACAGAACGATAGCTTCAAAGCTACCAGCCAACATTGCGACGCAACCTCAAAGGGGGGCTTTTGACACTCAACTTTCTTTGAGCTCCACCCGGCACTAGGCTCAAGAGGCGCGTCTAACTGAAAAAAGAAAAAAGCTTTTTTTCCCCGAGCAGGCTCCCTCTCACTTTCTCTCTCTCGCGGAGAACGGAACGAATCGAAACAGCCTCGTCTTTGTCCAAGCTCCAAGCTCCAAAGCTCAGCCTCGCATCCGCCCGCCATGGACGCCGTCCGGTCTCTCGTCCAGCCCATCACGCACAACCTGCCGGCCCCCATCCGGGACCTGGGCGTGTCGATCGTGGGCGAAACCTGCTACAAGGCGCTGCTGCTCGACGTCGACGTCGAAAACACGGAATGCATCAAGCTGGCCATCAGCAAGGGCCTGGGCATCGGCATCGTCGGTGCCTCGGCCGTCGTCAAGGTGCCCCAGATCCTCAAGCTGCTGCAGTCCAAGTCCGCCGAGGGCGTGTCCTTTTTGTCGTACCTGCTGGAGACGAGCGCGTACCTCATCTCGCTGGCCTACAACGTGCGCAACGGCTTCCCCTTTAGCACCTTTGGCGAGACCGCCTTCATCATGGGCCAGAACGTCGTCATCGCCATGCTCGTCCTCAACTACAGCGGCCGGCCCGCGACGGCCGCCCTGTTTGTCGCCGCGCTGGCTGTCAGTGCGGCGGCGCTGTTTGCGGACAACATTGTGGATATGCAGGCCTTGAGCTATCTGCAAGCTGGTGCTGGTGTCCTCGGCGTTGCCAGCAAGGTTCCTCAGATCCTGGCCATCTGGCAAGAGGGAGGCACCGGCCAGCTCAGCGCCTTTGCGGTTCGTTTACACTTATATTGTCTCACACCGAACGTAATGTGGCTAACGGAAATGAAAAATCTAGGTCTTCAACTACTTGGCCGGCTCGCTGACTCGCATCTTTACCACGCTCCAGGAGGTGGACGACAAGCTTATACTGTACGGCTTCATCTCTGGCTTTGCCCTCAACGCCATCCTCGCTCTGCAGATGGTGTACTACTGGAACGCTCCGTCGGCCAAGGCCAGGGGCAAGCAGAAGGAGGTGATTCCCGTCGGAGCTCTGTCCGAGGGAAGTTCATCGGCCGTTCCAAAGAAGGGCCCCACCACTCGGCGCCGTGGTTAGACGGGAGTCTCTGGAGGTTCCTTTTTCTTCTTGGTCTTTATCTGGATGCTGGTGTACAGGTTGGAATCAGGGAATATGCTAATGGGAGTGAAGTGGAAATGCCCAACTTGCCCGTGGCGTGTTCGTCATTTGGTATACTTGGGCCTACCATGTATTTAATAAGGGATATAGCCATTTATCAGCATTACTATTCTACTTTCAACATTGAACCACGACTGCAGGGCGCAGGGTACGGGTGACATGCTTATCCAGTGCTTAGCACGCGTGTATGGAACCTGCCATAAAAAGAGCCAAGTGAGACGGCATTCAGTAGAAAGGGGCATATAATTCCAATGGCAGAGCAAGTTAGAAATCCCGTATTATACAAGACACTAATGCCCGCTAAAGCATGCCAGCTATGCAGCCAACCCTTGGCTTTTCTTCATCAATCAATGCCATGCAGACATTACACACACATATATGCGCATACCCTGATAACGCCTGCCGTCCCAAAGCAAAAAGCTCCTCAAAAGCTCGCCCAAATCATAGTCGAGTACTAGAATAAGAAGATGAAAAGTGAAAAGAAAACAAAATACCAATCCAAAAACATGGGGGGTTTTCAAGTTTCATGCATTTAACAAACCGAGACGCCGGCATTAGTCCAGCCAATGCCGCCGATCCAGACTCTTCGGCCGGCGCATTGAAGGCAGCGCTTCTGCTCGCCGAGGTTGCTCACCGAGCAGCTGAAGCAGACGTGCTTCCCGCACGCGCCGCACGCCGTGTCCGCGTCCTGCACAGAGCCGCCGTCCACGTCCATGCCGTCGTCGTCGGTCCCGGCCAGGGCAGCGCCGCAGTCGTCGCAATTGGTAGCCGGCGCGAGAGGGTTGGCGATGCCGGGCGACGAGGTGCCGGAGCTGGGCTCGGAGCCATGGATGTCCCAGAAGCGATGCAGCGACTGCTGCTGCTGCTGGCCGTTCGAGTTCGCGTTCGCGGCCGGCTGTTCGACGACGGGGTCTTGAGACTGCTGCTGCTGGCCCTGCGACGGCCTCTGTTGTGCCGAGTACAGCAGGTCCAGGGTGTGCTCTGCGGGCAGGCATGATGAGTTGGGGCTCAGATGGTGGTGGGCGCGCCATTCGTAGAACTTACGATGGACCTCCTCGTCCGACGGCCTGTTGTCGCGGTAGCGCTTGAGGGTGCGGCTGTGCAGGGCCGGTGCGTCGAGGACCATCATAGAGTTGTCGGCGGAGGGAGGGCAGAGCTCGCCGGCGGAGCGTTTGCGCTTGAGGAGCGTCGCCATGGCTATAGATGCAGAAGGATGAAGTTTCAAAAAGAAAAAAGAAAACCAAGTTGTAGCGGAATTCGCTCGCACGCAACGCTCTCCCTCTCAATCAATCAATGCTTTGCAAAAGAGATGATGAAAAAAGAAGAAACAAGTTGTGGTGATACGGGAAAGAGAGAAGAGGAAGAGACGAAAACGGGAGGCCGGGACGAATTGAGTTTTGGGGGAGACAGAAGCTGAGTGAGACGGAATCAATTGGATTGGGCGGTCGTTGAGGTAACGAGGCGGGTCTCCCAGCAGGTATTTGTAGCAGCTGAGGCGCGACGAGAGAACGCCTGCAAGCGCTGAGAGATGGCGCGAGTCGCGGTTTTTTTTTTATGCGTCGCAGCGCGTAGAGTGGCTTCGCGACAAGCTAAAAGTTGGTGGTGATTGATGACATATAATATGGACAAGGAACTGCATGAGGAGTCAATGCCGTTTAGCCAGAGTGTTTACAGTACAAAGAAGACTCTGAAAACAAACAATGTTGTTGATGATATCAAATATAATTACCGCTCATATGTGGTTGCTGAAAAGATAAGGTACTGAATATATATCGTCTGGTATCAATCCCATACCTAATCTCACTCACACGCCGTCATCGCTCATATCTTCACCACCAGCTTCCCTATCCCCCCCTTGCCAGTAACCACCTCCTCACACCCCTTCTTCACCGCCTCCAAATCCCCCAATTCCACCGTCCTCATCACCGGCTTGACCTTCCCCAGAGCCACAATCTCCCCCGCCTTCTCCAGGTCCTCCCGGATCTCGAGGCTGCCAGACACCATCTCGTACTTGATGCTCGTGCCCCGAAGCTTCCACCAGTACACCAGCTGCGCCAGATCCAGCAGCAAGCCGATCCACCAGCTGAACCGGTCCGCGCCGATAATCTTCTTCGCCGTGGCCTTGGACGGCGCGCTGGTGATGGAGATGAGCACCCCCGTCTTGGGGTTGAGCAGCGGGATGCCCTCGTCCATGCTGTTCCACTGCGTGTTGTACATGACGTCCACGCTGCCCGGCGCTACTTGGTCCCGCGGCCGGTGCGTCTTGTAGTCGATGACCTGGTCGTAGATGCCCGGCAGATACTGCTCTACCAGCGCCAGCTTGGGCGTCGACACCGTCGTGATGATGCGGGCTGCGCCGAAGACGTTTCTGGCTACTTGTGCCGCCATGGCCCCCGTGCTACTCAGCCCAGCGGGGATGTACACCGTCTTGCCCTCGAGGCTGTCTGTGCCCATGAGTTGCAAAGCGCGCCGCCATGTCTGGTACGAAGTCACCACCACGGCTGTCATGGCAGCGGCCTCTTCAGGGGAGAGATGCGCCGGCTTGCGCAACAGAAAGCGCTCCTCGGCTACCGCATACTCGGAGATGAAGCCAGGTGGTGGGAATCGGAACATGGGCTTGTCGATGTACGCCCCAAACACTTCGTCTCCAACTTTAAGGTCCTTGACTCCGGGCCCAACGGCGACGACCACGCCAGAGCCCTCTGCGCCAATCTGAGCTGGATATCTAGATGAATTACGCAGTTAGTCGGCCAGTGTTCCTGGGTTCCGTATAATAACGTGCGGCTGAGACCAGCAGATACGGCAGTCTTACTTTGGTGAATGAAATAGCTTCATCTTCCCAGCCACGGCCTGCAGCTCCCCCGTGTTAGCTGCCGCTGCATGCATCTTCAAGAGTACATGCGTCGGCAGCGTGATGCTCGGCACCGGCAACTCTCGCACCTCATAAACCTCCGGCCCACCCTGTCGCGGCGCCACAAGCGAGCGCATCGTCGTCGGGACGTCCATGATGCGGATGGAAGTACTAATAGTAGATGGGCTGGAAACTTGGCTGTAGTAAAGCGCCTTTGAAATCACAGTGTGCTGCTTGCGGTGGAATTTCCCCAGTCTAGAACAAGATATGGCAAGACGGGGCATGACTTGATTGAAAAGAAAAGAACACTTCATGCATCATGCAACTTCAGCTGCATCGGCCTATATATGCCGGACCAATTCCACCTCGGCGGCGGATTTGGGACGTTCGGCGTTCGGTGGGTCCCTCCGATGCGGTGGGCCGCCGACTTTCGTTCCGTCTCGCCAGCTTTCGCAATCGGATGAGTCCAGGTCGTTTCTGGCCATGTCCGCAGGGCGGAGTTTCAGCTTCATCTCATTACTCACCTTTTCTCTCTTCTTTTTTCCTTTTGGCCCTGAATTATAAATGAGTTGTGGGAGTGTGATTTGTAAGATGAGATGACAGCCCATATCAAGCGCTCACAATAAATAGTCGAGAGTTGGGTCTCTCTGAATCATAAAAGCACTATACTTCAGAACGGTAACAATTCTTGGTAAGTTTCTGAATGCATCAAAATAGTAGCAGCCATATCCTTGATATTAATTATGATGAGAAACCAGGTATAAGCTTCTTTGTATTGCATATACGACCAGACAGATGCACACCTCTGCAATGTCGAATCTGTACATGACGCATGCTATTCGCTACATCTACGCCTCTGGTAGGTCTACTTTCCAAAAAAGCCTCCGTACACTTTTTCCCATCTCTTCATCCAATGTTGCCTCCTCTCCTTAGCAGATGCTATCCCAAAACAGCCGATGCGCCCAAGGGGGGTTTCGGGTATACCCCCCTCCCCAGTCCCAAAAGAAAATAGTAATAAAAAAGGGCTCACGCTGGTGTGAAACAATCGTCCCGGTCCTCCCTCCGAAATACGCCCAAGCTCTCCCTATCCAACAACAAAGGAAACGATATATAAGAAACTCAGGTATAAATGATAGTTACAAGTCAACTCCTCCAAGGTGGGGGTCGACAGGATGACAAAGAGGTTTTTTTTCTTTCTGCTAACAAGAGAAACGCCAAGTCTATGCTGAAATAGTATGTCGATGTGAGAGAAAGATTTGGGTTTTTGGTAATGAGAGGGCAAGTGGTGGCCTCTTGCCGTGAATAGTGGTAATAAATATAAATAGATAAAGAATCGCATATCGGTTTGTCATCGACAGGACATGGTTGACTGTCATTGATAGTCGTTGGATATCATCGACGTGACAGAATCGGTCGTGTGTTGCGTGGTGAGGCCGCCAGCAGGATGTGGTTGAGCCGGCCTGTTAGTCAGGCTAGTATAGGTATGAGACGATAAAAGAAAAATGAGGGTATAAGAGAATAAATGATATGCATGGACGGTATCCTTTTGCATTCATTCAAGGGAGGTGTCGTCGATGGCTAGGATCACGGGGTTGACACTGTCTGTCGTGCTGGCGTTGTTGAGCAGCTAGCCATTCGGCAGACCCAACTTGGCGGGACGGGTTCTCGGCCGGCAGCTTGGTGTCTTGGCCTGCACCGCCACTGCCGCCACGGTTGTTGACAGAGTTGGGGGATCCGGGTACGAGATCCGTAACGGCCTGGGCGATAGACGCGACCACGTAATTCCGGAGTTCCAGATCCTCCGCCTGGTCCTCCTTCTCAAGACGGAACCGCTCTTCCTTGGACTTGTTAGCCCGGCGGAGATTCTTGATTTCCTGCATTATGTAAAGCATAACCTCCTCAGGGCATCGGTTACGCTCGTTGGCGGCTTCGTTTTTGCGCACATATCGCCGAGTCACGTCGGTAGCGCCGTCGGTGGAAAAGGCCACGCAGTAAGACATCTTCTTGCCCCAGCCTTCGGTGTAGAGTCGGGGGTTGTCCCAGGCCTCCTCACAGGCATCCACGTGAATCCACCTCTTTTGATGGTCTGAATAAACCTCAGTCCAGACGTGGTCCTCAGCATTCCAGACCCACCGCACACGGCCACCGACCGCGCGGCAGAGCATACTGAAGCAGTTTGCCCATTCTCCGACGCGGCCTCTGCGGGTCTGCAGTAGTCGCCAAACATCGCCGTAGCGTGGAAAGCGTTCGTAGGCACCGCAACTCTCGGCAGAGCAGCGGTAGAGCTCAACTCGAAGAGCACCGCAGGCACTCTCCTCCGGGGTTGGTGCTGTCATGCCCTGGGCGATTGTAGGGGACAGACAAACTGGGCATGGGGGGTTATTTACCCATGTGAAGAATGACCGCCGATACCATCTGTGAAAGGTAGAAAAGTTAGAACTCTATTACCCAAGTGAAGGGGAAAGGGATAAATTTCATCGGGCGTGAAAAACCTACCGAAGAAGGGCTCGGATGACGCAGTCCTGATATCCCCATTCCGGCTTCCGTCCGTCGCCCATACTCTCTGCTTGAGCCTGCAGAACTTGGCACTCTTCCTCGGCCTCGCCATATATGCGGTCGAGGGGAATAGTCTGGAGAGCCTCATCCAACAATCCAGGGTTCTCGTATTTGGTAGGCGTGAGTGATAGACTGAGGAGAAGATTTCGGAACTTTTGTGAGTCGCGGTCGGTGGCGGTCGGTGGTGTTGGGATCTTGGGAAGATGTCGCAGTGCTGAATATGAGGGTGGGGTTGCGGAAGCGTGGGATGAGTCAAACTGGCTGCTACCAGCTGGTGAAGGGGCATCGCGATAGGCGCTCGAAGGTCGTTCTCGCGAATGCTGTGACAGATGTTGAGCCCGGAGGTCGTTCATGCGCTTATCGCGCAGCAGGCCCTCGAAGCGGACTCGGAGTTCGTGGGCCCATTCCTCGCCATAGTTGTCGCCTTGCGATGAGGGCCCTGAGCCGAAAGGGGTGCCTCGGCCCTCCATTGCGGTTGAAGGCAGTCGAAGGAAATTATTATGCTGGGTTTAACGAGTGAAGCGGGTCGAGAGCGAGGACGCCGATGCGGATATGGATGGGTTTTGGGTGAGATTCGATGTGCCTGATCTTGAATCTCAATCAAGGATGCAAGATATCAGGTAAATAGAAAGCAGACAGTGGCAGGCAGAGGTTGTTGGCCACAAGATTGCGTCGTCGTCAACGTCGCGGCTAGGCTGGTGTCTGGTCGTGGTCGTAGGCGGACAGCGTCGTCAGCTGCGGATGCGTAAACCGCTGGAAATTGCCACAGTGACTGAGACCACCCCTCAGCGTGCGCCAACTGGCTGGGCCTCGTGGATCCGGGGTTGGACCCTTTTTGTTTTCAAAATCCCTTGTCGCTGGGATCGACCGTCGAACTGAAAAGGGCGGTCGACGCTGCAAGTTGAAGCCGTCGCCAGAGAATGAAAAGCGCTGGTCTGGTTGCAGAAATGAAAGCTGAGCAAGCATGAAAAAGAGGCAAACGGGGGGGCTTAGTGGAGGAAGTATGTGTCTCTTGGGGGTCACCGGCCCTCTGGAGACGCAGCGCTGCAGCACATACAGGGCAGGGGAAATAAAGGGACTAGCTGTGACTGTGGTACTAGTAGTGGAAGTGGTAGCACTGCTAGTGGCAGAGGGGGTGCCTCTTCCTCTTTGGAGCCACTGATGGCGGTTTACGCGTCAGCTGGCCAGTGCAGCCAATCACAGCCGCCGCCTGGCCCAGCACCAGGATTAGCTCTGCTCGGTGAGAGGAGCCCGACGCGGGTACCGTTACAAGGCGGCGAAGCCTGGGTACATGGGCGCTGAGGATGATGCAGACGCAGAGAGACTGCAGAGAGACATCCATTGAACTGGGGCGCAAGTTCAAATGGATGCGATCCATTGATCGCTACAATGCTACTGTACTCCGTCTGTACAAGGCACGATATCCGTACCGACGATTACTGTGGTGCTAGAGGATCGATTCTATTAAGTTTATCCGTCTTATGGTACTGTTGACAGGTATTCCGTGCTATCATTCAACTTCGGTACCGTCTGAAGAGTTCACGTCGAGCAAAGATCAGACGGTAGGTACCATATGACTATATCGTTTCACTCTATGCTTAATTTCTTACAACCTTCTTTGACCAAATTTTCTTTTGATTCTCTTTTCCTTGCTAAACAATGAATGGGCCAAGACCAAGACCCCCAGGGTCCTCTGTTTCCCGGTTTCAGCATGCGTCATTCCATCTCAACGACACACGCGGCTGCCATTGCACGTACCTATACTCGTATTATACAGATGTCAACCCAGGGCGGAACAAGGGTCGGCCAGCCAGAAAGGGGAATAATTGCACGAGCAATTACGGAAATCATAATCGTACTGTACCTAGATCGCCCAGCTAGAATACGCACAGCGACGGCTGCTGCGGAGCGCGGCTCGCAAAGAATCTCCCAACCGTATCGCGATGCCCACATGCAACTTACATCAATCGCAAAAAGCGCACAGGGAGGTACCGCGGGCCTCGCGCTGGACAGCCCGCAAGTACCGGAACCTGGACCCTCCAGCACAGCGATGACGAGGCACGCAGCGCATGATGCGCCTTTCCCGTTTCTGCTGTGGCACAGCCGATGCCAAGATGCTAGCGTCATGGCTGCGCACACCCGTTTGCGCACTGTGTGCTGCCGCCGTGCCGCAGTCAGCCGGTGATGCTTCGTTGGAGATGCGCTGCTGCGTTCTGTACGCTGGATACTGTGTTGTTGGACGGAGGCGATGCATTGCGCCTCCGTTTCGATATTTTCATCGTTCTCTTTTTTTTTTTTCTATGTAAATGTTTTTTTCTCTCGCGGCTGCGAGTCACCATCTGGTACAGCCCTTGTCGAGGCCAGAGCCGCTAGCCGCAAAAGGTACTAACTTGCTACATATTGTAATACGGCATACGAATACTCTTCGGACTATTCCTGGCCCTTTCGTATATACGATCTGCGAATTTTACAGACGCTATCCGTTTCAGACGTTGGGATTGTCTCTTTTATTGTTCTTGTTTTTTCAAGTTTTCACAATTGCTCTTGCGCCGTCTCCCCTCTCTAATTTCCTATTGTAGAAGTCTGGAGTGGTTGTGATCAGCAATCCCCGCCACCTCAACAAGCGACTCTCGCCTCTCTCTGCACATCTCGAGGCCTCTGGAAAATCTCCCATTGAAAACGGATCGGAAACTAATTGATCATCGGAGCGGGAAAACGCGGCAGTGTTGGTTTTTGCTTGGAGCCGCAGTAGAATTTGCACTTCCCGGTGATACAGTAAACGGTATGCATATCGACACTGTATGATTAGTACTCCGTCAGGCGGCTATTCGACCCTCGCGCAAACGTCCAAAGGGGGCTTCCACTCTAATAATCAGCCTTGCGTTTCCCCGTTCCTGTTCCTGGGCTTTGCACTGCCAAAACGGCCCCTCCGCCAGCATGGCCATAAGAATGGAGGCCTTGTGGAAAGATCGTGAACTTTCCATGTACTCTACCTTGATCGTGAACTGCACTTCGCATTACATAAGGTGATTTATAGCAGGTACCACGGTACAACACCAAAAAGAGCATGTGAGATCTTGAACCCCCTCAACACCCAAAATGCTATTAGCGTTTCTTTCCTGCAAGAGCATCACGCCCCATTGTTATAGACACCCAAAGCCTCTTCTCTTTCATCCATCTCCCACTGTCTATTCAGCATAATTCTCATAATCCAAAAGATACAAACCGGTCATAGATATGCCTTTGATTGCTGACTCTTTCTTCCTCTTCTGTAAAGCCCAAAATCTCATCAGGGCTCCAGCTCAGCTTCGAGACCGGGTCCCGGATCCGGAAGCTAAAAGACAAGGGCATTTCGATCCCCAAAGACAAACAACTAAACATGCCTTCATCCAATCACATCCTCGCCAAACAATTTTTCATTTCTACGTCCACAGCTGGGGCGTGGTGTTAGGGGTGCGAGGCCGCGTCATCCGCCTATTGCGCTCTATGGGGGCTTGCGTACTACAACGTCCAATCGCCACTCCACGCCTACACAGGCCCAGACGACAAAAGCCGTGCAAATCAATTATACAGAGACATTGCCCACTGCGGTTAGCGGACAAGCTCGTTGAGGCTCGATAAGCATTCTTGGCTTTTGCGGTAGAGACGATGAGGAAACTACCACGCGAAACCCACCCCCAAAAGAGGCAGAATATACGAGCGTATCGAGTCCGTGTTCGTACTGGAAAGGGACCTTCAAGTCTTGCACACATGGATCACATTAAACGGACCATTGTACAGTACGTCCAGCTTGACAGATGGTCCGCGGCCAGCAACAAGAGGGCATCGTGACGGCAGTCCGTCGTTGACATTGTCGGTGTGAAGAAGCTTTTCCGTCTTCATTGAGGCTACAACGTTAAAGCTTGACGGCCCCAACAGCCAGCTAGAATCATACGCTCTTCAACCCGCAACCCAAGGCGGATCTAGGTCCACTACTTTCCACCAACGGCTGGTCCATGGGGGTTTACTAAGGCATGAGTATATTACAGCGTAACACGTTGACATATCGAATGCTACCACGACACTCGACTTGAGTTTGCCCTGCATTTCCCCCATCACCCTCGCATGAACTTTTGTTTACTACCACTCTCCTGCTAATTTAACAGACATTGGATGAATGGACTGGGTTCATACAGTACCATCTCATCTACTTACCACCTCGCTTCTCTTCTTAGACGCATGACCATCTCACAGGGCCACGATATCATGATTCTCATCGAACTCTATCGTACCACAAAGAGCCACACCATGAACCGAAATATCAATACTTCATGCTTCCTAACCCATACCGGTCAGCCCATGAGCCCTGCATGATTCACATTCGTCATGAGTCCTCGCTCCACAAGGCTCTTATCTGACGCCCAATTTCCACAGCCTACCAGGTACCAGGACACAACGACTAATATTTATTGGAATGTACTCGTACAGTACTCAGCAGATACCTTGTACAAGGCTACGAGATGGCTAGAGCACCCGGCCCCCCTGCTTTAAGCGCGGCTTTTTCGAAGGGGACGCGCGTTAACTGGATCTCGCCCCCTGTTCTGCCCGGACGTCGTCGTCGTCCGTCTCACGCCAGGATCGTGGTCTCCATTTCTTTTCTCATATTCGAATTCGTTAGGGCGGAACGTAGACTGGCTTGTGACGTGAGTTAATGATTCCTGTGACCAACAGGTTTTCCGTGTATACCATTGTTGGTGTCTCTTCGTAAACGAATTAGTGGATGTGCGTATATACTGTGTAACAAGGAGCTGCGGACTCGTATGAACACTCCCCATTCTTTCAACGAGGATTTCTTATTTCAACCTAAGATACTACCTTAATAAAAGCTTTGTTTTATCCCTTGTGCGTAAAGGGGGATTTAAAGGTGATGCTATACTGGTGGAGTGTCAACATGCAGCGTTACGTATCAACCCATCCATTCTTCGTTTCGTAAGCACACAACTCTTCCATGACCACTTCACATCAACTCAAACAGCTCAAAAGCAATCTCTTAAAGCAAAATTAACATTTCAACTCCTTTCTATATGCCATGAGCCTCAACTAGCAACACTTTTGTAGACATCAGCCAGGAGCGAACCCAGCTCTAAATCACTCTTTGATATGTACTTGGTGATCCTGAAAAAGAACCCAACCCCCCGTTCTGTTCTGTCACATTGCTCGCCCATGCCATGCCATTTCCATCTCCCGTTTTTTTTCGTCGTAACAGCCTCCTGCCATTAAAAAAATTTTCACCTCTCCCATTCCTCCCCGGCATAATATCTCTCGGGCATCTCCACATCCCACACTGGTCTCTCCACTAGCGCAACCTCCAGAGGCTGGTCTGCAGCGTTGAGGGATACGATACCAAGAACTGGGCGGTACTTGTAGGTTATCCACCAGCTCTTTCGGTCAGTTCCCGCCTCTTGATCCCCCGTGCCATTGGCATTGGCATTGCCGTTGGCGTTGCGAAGCTGGGCCAGGTCGCCCTCGGGGGCATCAGCCATGTCGTCGTCACTGTCACTGCCATCCTCGTGGGGAGAGGCGGTATCCACGTCGATATTCACCCACTGCCCGTCCACGTATTTGCCAATCTGGTGCGGTGCAAGATTTTCACGGGTCATTTTGCCTCCGGCACCACTAGTATGGCCGGTTCTCTTGCGCTTTGTCCCGGCTCCATGGCTGACGACGACGGCGTCACTCTCTGAAGTGGGCTTGGGCAGGTCTTGGGCAGTGTCGAGCATGAGGAGGAACGAGATACCGTAGACCCAGAGGCGGGATCCCTGCCACAAAGCACCTTTGGCCAAGTCTAGCAGGTCCTGCACGGCAGCCGGGAGGGCTTTCCGGGGGTGTCTGCGTGACCATGGTGTGAGAGAGCCTTGGAGAGGATGGAATGTCAAGACGTTCCACGAGGCCGTAACGGCAGCGAGGGTGTAGTCCTTGATGGCACCCACTTCGCTTGCATCTCCAGAGGGTACGTCTTCCGAGAATGACAAGACAACGGGAGTTGAGGGTAGCTTGGGCAGCAGGTTTGCGCTCGGATTGCGAATCCAGCGGCGCTTTATGCTACTAGCTTGGCCTTCCTCGTCATCTGAGGAGTCACTCTCACTGTCACTGTCGTTGTCTGAGGACGGTGCCGCGTCATTTGCTCCATCCCCTTCCATCTTTTCCTGCATATTCTCATCGGGGCCGCGTAAGACCCAGGTGTCAATGTAACCGGCAATGTCAGCAACCGCAACCATCCTCGAGTCGGCAGTGAATGAGATGTGAGTGATATTTCTCTCATAGCTTCTTAGCCCGCCGTTCTTGATGTATCGTGGAATATGGCGCCGGAGACGGGGAAGCCGCTGCAAGTGAATGGCGAGTTGTGACGAGTTCTCCGAATCATTGACCTCTTCGAGACTAGCCATGATAACTCGAGAGCCCTCTTTGATAGCACAGAGCCATTTCCCATCTGGAGAAAGCCGCACCTGTGAGGCACCGGCATTCTTCAGCTTCTCTGGGAGTTCAATTGCGGATAGTTTGACGTCAGAAGGCTTAATCGGATCTTGGTGCTCCAGCCGGAAGGCTTTCATGTCCGTTGCTGTAGACACGATGAGGAGGGTTCCCTCTGGGTTGATCGTAGCAGAGCTGATGTTGGAGTCGCCCTTGACAACAATCGTCTTGAGAAGTTTGCGGTTTTGGTTGATGTCAACTTCTTCTCCTCCAGCCACATTGAATATTTCTGTAGCAGGCTTTCGCAGAGCCCAGATGTGAACCTCCCTATCCCACCAGCTAGTGATGAACCTTGCCTTTTGTGCGCTCGAAACGGGAGGCTGCTGTGGGAGATTGCTGATTGTTCGGTGGTTTTCGCGGCCCATTTCTCTCAGGGGAACCAGCATGAGGTTTGCATCCGGTCCTGTATAGAACGTCAGTCAGTCTAAATTCATGAATGTTTTATTTGCTTGACCGCCATCATCTTACCTCCAGTAATTACAACGCTCGTGCGTCCATGCTCAAACGATGCCATTGTCTTGACATCGTGGTCGTGATATCGTCTCCCCCAAACCTTGGCCCAGCGGTTGCCGGTGCCAGTATTCTGCTTGTACAGGACAGTACGACGATCCATTCCTCCACTTGTGATGGTCGTTCCATCGGCGCTGATGGCAAGACTGAGAACATCTTGTTTGTGGCTCTGCAGTCTCTGAGACTGTGTGTAGGTCTTCCCATCCCAGATGCAGACTTGACCCGTGGAATCCGCCGAGACAATATTACCGTTGGGTAGGCACTTGACCGACCATACGATGATATCTTTTGAGCCACCAGCCAGATCTGCGCCCAGCGTCATATGGCGAAGCATATGGCCCTTTGTAACGTCGTAGATTCGAATAGTGCTGTCTGAGCAGCCCACGACTGCAATTTTGCGTGACTGGAACGTGATACTGACCATCTGGGCCTTTTTCGTAGGGGATCGCACAACGACTCGTTGGAAGCGCAGGTCATCATCTTCGATCGAATACATGGCAAGTTCGCCATCAATCGTGCCGGCAATCAGCTTGTTGGAGTGCAGGTCGTCTGATGCACCGCTCAGAGCCGGGGGCTGCACGGCGAGACACCAGATGTCGCCGTGCTGTCCGCTGGCATGTCTCTTGGGTTTGCCTTTTTCGAGATCCCACTCGGTCACCGTGGACGTGTATCCAATACTAAAGAGACGCGACTTGCCCACAGCGATCTTTCCATCACCTAGATCCTGATCAGGCTCGTTGACCCAGACAAGACCATCAATGCTGCGATCCTTGCCGCCGCGAATGACCAGTTCCTGGTGCCATGTTCCGCTTGAAGGGTTCCAGATCTCAATGTCACCGTTGGCTCGTCCAACAGCCAATCGCGCGACAGAGCCTTGCTTTGCAGACTTGGTCTTGGGGTGCGAGAAGGCTACGGCGTTGACAGCCGACGGCTTGTAGGGCACAAACCGGCAGCGATGGATATCCATGGTGGCGATGGATCCAATTCACCGTCTCTATTGATGTTGATTGAATCGAATGCCAGCGTCTGGCGTGTTTTCAGACACCGAAATCCGCCAAAGCTGTGGAAGGTGAAGCGCAACGCTGTCGGCCGTGATGCTGCAAGAAAAAAAAAAGTGCCAGCCTCGTCCAGAAATTTTTTAGAGCTGGCGAATTAAGCAGCGGCCCATGCACGGCTGCCCCTCCACCCCACCAATTATCGGCCTCTGCCAGCGCCTTGTCCGCCAGGCATTTTTTGTTCCCTATAAGATGGGCGTAAATTTCATTGTCAAACACAACATATTGGCAGTGTGCAATTTCATTGCATTCTGATATCTATCCGATGTTCGTAACTCTCACATAGATTTTTGTTCTGAATATGCAGCTCTGTAAATTACTGCCAAGTACGACATGTTGAAATGTTTTGTAGGTAGCCTCGCCTCGCTATCGATAGCCCCACACTGTTGCCGATATCTACAGGTACTCAGGTACCTACATCCGTTTTCTACCAGACTTCTCTTCTTCTTCTTGTTGCTTGGCATCTTTCAATATACAGCGAGCTGCATTTTCACTAAATGCATTTGACAGTCATGAAAATGACACTAAGACGATTGACAAAAAAAACTGGTACAGCGCACACCTTGGGAAGATAAAAGCGATGTGTCTGCTCTTTATAACACTGGGAATACAAACACCAAACATGATACCCATCAGCCACCTTCTTCGCAGCTGCTTCTTTGAAAGCATCCAATTTCTGTCTTGGTAGGTGATTTCACAGGAGAGTTGCCAAATGTTGTGCTCTCTCAACAATTATGAGAAAGGAGCCGCCCATGTTTAGCGAGGCATCTACATTCCCTTCTCTAGCCTATTCTCCTCCTCCTCCTTCTGCTTCTAAACAATCCTGTCTTCTACATCTTGTCTGTTTCATACTCCGAACATCGACAAAATCTTGGGGGCTTCTTTTTGGGATCCGTTTTTGGCTGCTCTTTTGGAAGCATCTTAACTCATCCTTGATCCATTTATAAACAGCAAACTCTCACCACCATGGCGAGTCCACCTCCCGAAAGCAATGACTTCAACTGGTCACCAAACAGGCTCTCAGTTATCCGTCGGAGGGCCTTGGTCCTCGCTGGTTTTTGTCTACTCACCTTCTGTTCAACTGTATTTGTCAAAGTTATTACAGTCGGGACGGTAGGCCTTGAGCAACAGGGCCTCATGAAGCGACAGTTTCAGCTCGGTGGATTGCTAGGAGGCATGTTTAGAGAGGTAAGTCGTCATCATGGGCGCCATATATTCTGAGTTATTTTGAGATGAGCATGTCTAAATTTGACTGACTATACAAAAGGTAAATGGTGCAAAATCTCTCGAAATACCATCAACCGCAGAGTCTGTGCAGCAAGATTCCACTACTACTTCATGGATGTCAAGTCACACAGTCGAGATACCCACATTGGCAAGTCATACTCTCGAATCTTCAAAGGCAATCACAGAGACTACGGGGTCAAATATTTCGCCTGGTGACCCCAATAAACTGCTGGATATCTTGGCGGCGGCAGTGAAACAGGCGATCAAAGATTCAGAAAAGCTCCCATCCACAGCACTGAATCATCTTCAGAAGAGCGTTCTATCCGATTTGATTGCAGGTCAGTCATTTGCGGCACCACTTTCAGCAGACTCGTCGATATCTCTCCCTTTTCAGACGTCTCGTTCAAACTCTATGGGAATTCTTCCGACTCCCTCGGTCAGGATCCTTGGTGGGCTCTCAGCGGATGACTTAACATTACGAATGCACACTGCACGAGCAATTGCAGAGGTGCCCCCGTCAGGATTTTCGACTGGTGGCCCTTCTTTTCTGAGCGAAGTGTCAAATATTGTTGCAGAAATATCGGACATTGATCCAATAGCGGCTGCCAAGCTCACAGACACGGTACTCGATGCTCTTCATGTGAATCCGTCCGCCATTGCTTCAGCAGTACCAAAAGTCGCAAATCAGGCTTCTCTTCCAGCTGCGGATCTGCTCCCACTTATCATTCCTGCTGTTGCTCAGGCTATGGATCAGCCTCTACCTCCGATACCTTCCGTAAGCACATTGGATATGGTGGAAACGTTAGACAAGGTCCTCCAGCAAGGAACAACAGTCATCAATGATCTCAGCAGAGCCCTTGAAGATATCACTGATCCATCGCTCCTAGCAGTTGTCAATCAGGTTGCTGTGATCGTCAGTGATGTTGCCGACTATTTGGATAAGCCCCTTTGTGCCGTTGATCAAGTCCTGGACGGGGTTTCTTTTGACGCAGTCATACCTTGTGCTTCAGCCGAAGCCGCGTCTCTTACTTCAGTCGGCCAACTCACAACATTGGCTGCACCTGTGTTGCCTGGGCCAACACCTCATTCTACCTCGGGAGAAATCACGACTCTTGCACCACCTAGTCCATACTCATCCAAGCCTGCAGCCGAAAGTCCAACCAAAACGAACAGTCCATCTCCTGCAAATTCAGGAAACGGAGGCAGCCCTGCATCAAACAATGGTTCCCCCGCCGGAACTACACCAGCCAGCCCATCATGTCCCACGTGTCCATCTTGCGATCAGTGTGCTCCCAAGATCTGCTCTATACAGGGCCCCGAGGGGCCAAGTGCCCACCAACCTCCTGATCCTTCAAAAGGGCCTTGTCCTGGAAGGGGTTTCAAATGTGCTGAATGTCTTGACGGCTGGTTTTGCCCTCCGCAAGAGACACCAGCGCAAGTCGCTCCTTGCGGAGTTGGATGGCCGTGTTATCACTGTCCAGAAGGCTGGTTCTGTGCCTCAACGGCAACACCTATCCCAACGCCTCCTCCAAGTTCCGTGGCAGGATCGCCCTCAGGGATTATAAGCACAGGTGGTGCTACAACTCCAACGATACTTCCAAATACTGGTAACCTTCCAGACGACTGGACCCAACTAGGGTGTTTTCAAGATGCCATTTCCCGAATATTACTTGGCGCCAGACCCGTGGATTATCTTCAGGGAGATATGTCTACCAAGGAATGTGTAGGGCACTGCATTTCAAGTGGATATAAGTTTGCTGGAACAGAGAATGGCAGGGAATGTTGGTGTGGAACTTCCATTCGTGATGATGCTGTGCGGCTTCCTCAATCTCAGTGCGGAAAGCCGTGTCAAGGCCAGCCCACGGAGGCCTGTGGTGGCAGCTGGGCTATAGATGTTTTTTTATGCTCGGATAAGTCAGACTCTCACCAAGATCCACCAGGGAAATCTACAGGTGGCTTCATGTTCCGACTTCTATCCAGCTTCAAAAGCAACAATCGAAAGGCACATCACCAGGCTTTCTAGACTGCCACGCGGCGGCTCATTAGTCATGAGACAAGAACAATCTATCTTCTCGAAAAGCCGTCGAGAGATTACTATGGATTGTAGTCATCTGTCGATCAACATTTCTAGCGTTATGGAGGCGTTTGATATGGTTCAGGCAAGCTGACATCTTTGTCCCGGAGGATTTCTAATGTTATACTGAACATCATTTCAACTGTGGGCAAGATGTGTATAGTATAATCTATTGCTTATGGTGGAAGTTTAGCTAAATTAGAGTAGCTGCCGAGAAATATCAGATTGCTTATTTATACACCTTGGTCATTCTCTGTGTCTATAACCCTATACAGTGGCTGTTTACTGTTGAATGGATATAATAGTTCTCTCTTGGGGATACCGAGGATCTAGACATTGTAAAAATAAGGGTTACGCTTGATTAGAGGCGACCGATAAGCCAAATGCCACCATTTTCCTCTATTCAAGGAGTCAAACGCCATTAGCCCGTTAGGCCAAAGGGCGCGAATCGTGCATGGCAGCCAAACTGACACGTGCATCATGTTTCTGGGGGACTCGTAGTATGTGCGCAAAGATTACCTATTCTGTATCTAGTTACTGGGGAGATGCGGATGAGCTCTTGACCTGGTTAGCTTCAGTGTTTGCACATGCAGAGAGCGGATAGCTTGCCCTTCAGGAGGGACTGGCCAATTCAGGTATTACCCTACATAGGAGAATGACTGCAAATTGCATGCGGAGTATGTGAATGCAAACTCTTTTCTTGGCCTTCTAAAAAATACCTTTTATTACGAGTTTGTATCACCATCAATTGATGCCCGACTTGGCACTTCACTCCGGTGCGTTCAGTTGTGGTGGTGGCATTCCAATATATTGGTCTATAAAGCTGGGATGAAACACATTTCGGGTTGTGTTACCGCGTAGTGGTTGCTGCAGACTAGGCAAATACGACACAATTGTCAATAAATAGATTTGGGGTGGTACATATGAAGTCGGACATTTTTTTTTTGGTCAATCCGTGTTACTTGAAGATTCTACAATTCGTCTTCATTGGACAGCTGATACCAAAATAGCACCGCGAAGATTTACCTTTCCATGCGGGTGGTAAAGTATGTAGTACAGAGTAGCCACCTACCCTACACCAAAATTCTCAAAGTCGGCGCTTTTTACCACCACACCCAAGCTTCTTGGCGAGAAATACTGTCCGACGAAAGTTACGCTGCAGTAAGAAATTGCTGCTGTGCACCAGGGGCATGAGGAAGAAGAAAAAGTCACCGAAGCAAATAGTTCACGATTATCACGACCGACTCATCCGTGTGATGCTTTGTCAGACGGTAGACTTGAAGTCGGACAGTAACCGAGGTTATGGTGCTCGGACTAAGGGAGCGTCATCTTGGGTTCTCCATAACACCAAGCATATAATACCACGAAGCGCCGAACCTACCACCAAAAACTAGTGGTTTTGCTGGCGTATTTCTCAGATTCAGAATTGGGGTAGCTACTCCGTAGAGAGTCACCGGCACGATGAAATAAACCGCCCTTGCTCGGCTTGGCAGCGGTACTCGCTGGAGGAGACGCGGAAGGCATGGAACTGCAGTGAGCAACGACACAGCCATGCAGTGAGACCCACGGCCACGCGCGTCCTCGGGAGCATATCTGGGAACCGACCGGATAACGGCATCTCAGGACACGAGGATCGTCTGCATTGTGTATAGGTCGAATGCGGGCTGAAGTCAGCAGGCGCAAAACCCCATCATCTCTGTATAAGCTGTACGATATTGCAGCCCGAAAATCTCGTAGATTTGTATCAAACGGCATCCGTGTAGCTCGAGGCGTAGACGCCGGAGATTTCTGCAAGTCCGGGTAGCGTCTCTCGGAAATCTTTTAGGCAGTCTTGGCTTTTATTTCGTTTTGGCAGCAAAACCTCATATTGCCATGGATCGAATCGTACGAGGGCGCAGCCACCCCACGTTTTGGCTAGTTCGATAAACAGCCCCTTTCCCGCTCAGCCGACCGGACTCCATCGACACCGTCTTGGGTATTGCGGGTAGCAAGCCGTAGGACTCCGTAATAAATGTTTCGTGCGGGGAAGTCGATGCTGGGGAAGCGGGTTGGAGACATAAATCTTGACAGCCAGAGATCCCGAACGCCGAGTCTGGGGAATAAGATGCTTAGATGCGCTAGCTAGAGTTGATAGCGGACTGCCATTTGCGGGGGAATCGGAGCCATGGTATATTTTTTGGGACGTAGTAGCAGTTGTATTAGCCCTTTCATCCCAGCAAAAGATGCGTTGTCCAACCTGGACCATTTCATCATGGCTAGTTGATCGATCTGGCAGGTCGAGGAGCTGCCCCAATGGACAACTTTGTTGGCGTAGAGAGGGGCAAGGTCGCCGATGGCTAGGAACTAGCAGGTCACGACACCAAGGCCACTACCGCAAACGGAACTTGATGAGCGTCTCTGCTTCCGAATCGAAATCGGCACGACGGGTGGCTGTTTGTAAGCCGCGGCTTATAAAATCGCTTCTCTTTGTGTCTGCTCAACAAAGCCACATGGGGGCCCCCAGCCATTTTTGCTTCGCTGAATTGATGACATCGCGTGATTGATATGCCACAATCAGAAGACTGACGGGGTTCGCACCAGGGGAAAGCTGACACCAATCCTCGTACCATCGTGGACCATGGCGGCTGACTGTACAAGTCTGTACTTGAGAAGCCTCAGCACTCGCATGCAACTGCTCGTAGTTTTGTTGTATATTACTTGTATGGTGCTAGTTGTCATAGCCATGTGAACGCACGAGCGGAATATGACGTGCCAAGGCTCCAAGACTTTCAGTGGGCTCCAAAGTTGCGAAACTACGACTCGTGTTCTCAACTTGAGTTTCCTCTGGCGGTCGATCGGGCCATTATGTGGGTTTAATGAGTAGACGAGAAGAATTCGAGGGAAGACTGATGCAATTAAGGTAAACGAGTATGGCGGTGACCAGCCATGTGCTAACGCAGTAGCTGTGATCCCAAGCTTGCCTGAGGAGAAGGGGATGGAGGGGGCCGCTTGAGAGGGGGGAGCTTGTTGACGATGAGCTCAATCACAGCCGTCCATCCGGCGCCTCTCTATTTTCGTCCCAAACCCAAGTCTATCGTCTCCATGGACAATTACTTTCCTCCGAGGATCCGCAAATATACCGCCGCTCGGCTCTGAAGGATGTGGCATATGGATTGCGTGTTGCATTAGCCGACTCCTAGCAAATTTTGGAAGAACATCTTCCTTTTCCCATTCCGGCATTGTTGGCTGCAGCACAGACAGGCGAGCTTGATACCACGATCGCCTCCTGGCTCAACCAAAATGAAGACTTGCGGGAGGCAACTGCTTGAGCATCTGTGCTCCGTATTATGGAGCAATTCATGTGCGTGAGCTCCACAGAGTTCGTACCGTAAGGTAGCCACCGGGATAGATCTCTGCAGCCCCCTTTCCATCCTCTCCACAAGACGACAGATCAAGAAAAAAGGCCGCAAGGATTAGATGATCCAATGCATCGAAGCCTAATTCAAACCTGCAGCAGGTTCACTGTACATGGCATTGCAGGCGTCGCGGCCGGAGTAATACCAACTCGCAAGTCACTCCGTGGTGCAAGTGTGCTCTTTTTGTTTTTGCTTTTTTTATTGCAGATTGCACCTAACAGCAATGTATTGGCCGGATCGCGGGTCTGACCCTGGCTTGATGATGCAGAAGCGTCCTGTCGCATTTGATTAGCGACCCAGAGAGAGGCATCAGGCTTGACTCGCGCGCGGAGTTCTTGTCCAGATTGAGATAAGGTACGCCTTCGGTTCTCTGGCGATCCCCCAGCACCGTTGCAAAAAGAGCCAGGGTCCGTCACCGCATGGCACTAGCATCATATTCCGGGGCTTACGAGTGGTGGACGTTTGGACTCAAGTGTTGGTCAGACCGGAGCCGGTGTGGATCGCCATGGTCTCGAGTGCTCGGTGATATTTTGTGTGCTGTCGAAGCGATGCCAATTGGTAGTGGTACTTGCATTGTTATCATTACCAGGTAATCTCGAGCAATACGGTCTACTTGGACCTTGGAATGCAAGAGTTACTGCTCTGAGGTTGGCGCTCCGTGGTACGACCAATAGCTCCGAACCGCCGTTGCAATGAACAATATGCTCAGGAGATTCGAGGGTCCGCTCGCGTTGGAACCAACAAACTTTCTTGTTTAGGTTCTCATGCTGGAGATTTTCAAGAGCCAATGACCACAATCGTGATCATGGCGTGTGCTTACGAGCATTTGTACTCGTAAATAGATAGCGGGCTCAGGTTCAGGGTCAGGCCGGCAGAGGGGGCTGTCATCACATCTCACCATCCTTTGTCTCTGCTCAATCCATTGTTAGATCTAGCTGGGAGCTAAATGTCCGTTTTCAGCGCCCTTAGTTTGGCCTGTACCGGTCAGCAGCCTTACGGGCGGACTACTTTTGCATGATGGCTCTTTGTTTCTCTTCTCGCGGCCAGCACCTTGTTTGTTCCCTTGTTTGTTCATCGTGCATGGGTCTTTTTCCCAAGTGGCCGAGCCTCCACACAACCCTTTCCGCATTCAACCAATCCAGATAGATGGTGGCTATTCTGGCTTGACGACAAGGCTAAATAGCCTAAACTCTGAAAAATTTCCAGAAAGGCCTGGACAAAAGTGGCTGGCCGGGCTTGGCCCTACTTGTTGTGGCGGCTCGCCGGGGGTAAGGAGGATTTTTTCTCTCTTCTGCCGTGCCTCATTTCACCAACACGACAGAAACAGCCTAAGCATGCACGAGATCAAGCACCAGGCAACGCCTCTTCGGCAATAAGGCCCATCGTCAGCTCAAGGAGGATGTGGGTCAATCCAATACTACCCCAAATCCATGGCATAATTTGTCGGGCTTGTCCCTGGAGAGTAAGGATCTGGAACTCCAAGGCATCCCCACTCATCTACCCCAATCATTGTGGTGGTGGCTTGGCCATAGCTTCTTTTTTTTTTTTGGCGGCAGTGCCTTGGAGTTCCTTTCGTCCATTCCAGTGGTAAAAAGCCATTGCGCATAGTTCAAACATTGGCTCGTTTACGGATTGTCCCGTGTTGTGGTGGGATGGTCCGACCTGTTGCGTGCGGTAGAGAGCGCCTGGTATGGAACATGTGCTGTTCGGCTCGCTTCTAGCTCGAGCTAGATAGGCGGACTGGCGGGAACAGTCCTCGGCAATGGAGCAGGCCGTATTGAACAGGGCCTGGGATAGTCAGTAATTGCGAGGTGACGAATGCAATTGATGTGCGGTTCGGTTCTGTTTGTACCTCGGAAAATCCACCCAGAGGTCCTTTGTATGCCGATTAGAATTTGAAAAGAGATAGGCAGAGATGGACACAGTAGACTTACCATGTAGCTGCAGGCCTCTCGACTTGAAGGTTGCCATTGACGAGCCTAAAATCCTCATGTACAGAGTAGGTATATCACATACCGTATGCGGGCTCATATTATATCCCAACGACTCCATAATGGCAGCTCCTCCGGGGCCTACGGGACATGCCCGTCGCCAGCGTGTCACTCATTGCAACCCTTTTCTACTTCTCCACTTACTAGATCTGTCGCACGTTGTTGATTGACTCGCGACCGCCGGTACCCCCCCCCTGCCCGCCCCCAGTGCGGTGCTAAGCACGGAGTAGCTGTGGTACCAAACGGCAACTTTTGGGGACATCGGGTGTCCGCCCATGAAGGTCTCAGCCATCGGTCTCATTTTGCCCGACCCTACCTATGGGCGGGAGGGTAGCGTGCTCAACGTAGATAGGCTGTGAATATAAGAACCTTTGCTCCCCACCAGAAAAGTTGCTGCCCTTTCTCCTCTTGCTTCGGTCATCCCTGATATAAATAGTAGCTGCTTGTTGTGAAGCACTGCTTTCATTAAATCAACCACTCTCCAATTACACCTGGTGTTCGGTCAAGGTCACCACCCGACAACATTTCGCATCTTTCATCAGGTCGATCGATTCCCAAGTCCGATAATCACCATGGCTGACGAAACCGTCAACATTGCTCCCAATGAGAAGGAGACCAACGGTGTCCAGCAGCAGACGGCGGTCCCGCGCCAGGGCTTCACACACAACCACCACAACGACTTCAATGAGATGACCATTGGCCAGTATGCCCAGGCTTTTGGTGGTGCTCTCCAGCCCGGTGCTTGGAGGCCATATGAGCACCGCAAGCTCGCCAACCCCGCCCCTCTGGGTCTTTCTGCCTTCGCTTTGACTACCTTTGTCCTATCCGCCGTCAACATGCACGCTCGAGGAGTCTCGGCCCCCAATGTCGTTGTGTCTCTCGCCTTTGGTTATGGCGGTCTTGTTCAGCTGCTTGCTGGCATGTGGTAAGTCATGAGCTCCGGGATTTCGCAGTATTATAACCCTGGACCTATACTGATGGTTTGTCTTTAGGGAGGTTGCTGCCGGTAACACCTTCGGTGCTACTGCTCTGGGCTCATATGGTGGTTTCTGGATCTCATACGGTATTCTCTTGACCCCCGAATGGGGTATCACGGCTCCTGATGGTCCGTACGAGGGCAACGTTGCTAGCGTGCTTGGCTTCTTCCTGACTGGCTGGTTCATTTTCACCACTGTGCTTCTGCTCTGCACCCTGCGATCCACTGTTGCTTTCTTCCTCCTCTTCTTCTTTCTTGACCTGGCCTTCTTCTTCCTCGCCATGGAGCAATACGCTGCCGACTTGGGCAACGCGACCGCTTCCCTGGCTTTGCAGAAGACTGGTGGTCTCTTTGGTTTCTTGGCTGCTTTCGCGGCTTGGTACAATGCCTTGGCCGGTATCCAGGACAGCAGGTTAGTACTTGGACATGCGCCTGTGCGATGCATATTTGCTAACAGACAATCAGCAACTCCTTCTTCCAGGTTCCCGTCATCCACTTCCCCTGGTCCGAGGCCGCTCGTGAGCGCCGTGCCAGCAAGTCTGAGCGTGCTCAGGCATAAATTTCGTCTTAGGAAGTGTGATCTGTTCTTGGTTATGATGAGCGATGCTGGAAAAGGAATGATACCTGAGTGAAGCGAGCGCGCGGTTCCTAGCGGGCTGGGCTGCGAGTAGGAATGAATACAACTGGGCCTTTTTTCTTTTTTTTTTTTTTTATCTGGTTAACAAACGTTATTGCGATGTAATACAGGAAGCTGTATACCAGCTGCTGATATACCTATTAATGATACTGACGTCTACGTCTTCTGCTCAGCATTGATTGTGTGCCCCCATCCTCGTGACTGCAGAGATTAAGTGAATCTCGATTGGCGACGATCTGTATCTAAAGCAGGCGGCACTTTCGTCGTGACTGCCTCCTCAAACGGACCATCTTGTCTCAGATCTTCGTAGATACATGGTACCTAGCAAGCAGGTGTGCATATATCAGACTCCATCTCATAAAACATGTTTCATCATGAGGCTCATTACTAGTATCACCATTAGTGGATGCTAATGCAGGCAGCCGTTCATGCAGCCGTGTATTACTATTGTTTCGGATATCACCTGTGCTATTAATACATTTTGCAATTACCTTGGAGATATTAGGTAGGGAGAGTGAATTCATCACGTGAATTTCTACGTTTGTCTCTACTTTGATCAACATGATTGGTCAGAAAAGTCAAGACAGACACACGTATTAATCTCACACATCACAGAAGCAGTATCTATAAAATGGAGGCCAGTGTCTAGTGACCAAAGTGACGCCCTTTGCCAAGAGCCAATGTTTCGTTTTTACATTAGAGGACAGATGGATGTTCCATCTCTTGGCCCCCAATCGACGGTCAGGCTTGGCAGCCTTACGCTCAAGTACAGTATTTGATTCGTCGGTTGCAGAGCAAATTGGTGAAAGCAACAGACGTTGTTTCCAGCCTATTTCAAGCTAGATATCCATTGATGGGGGAGATACTACATCTCAAGACAGAGCTTTTCCTTACTATTCCAGCAGTACCAGTGAAGGGATCATGGGTTTCGAAATGCCAAAAGCGAAGAGGCAACTAGCAGCAATTGGTGCCAAAACAATCTCCGTAATATTCCATGGCTCATCCCAGAGCTGAGAAAAAATTATCATCCCCTTACCTGATGAGGGTGTCATCAAAAAATACAAAAAATCGAAATGAGAAAAAAAGGCGGGGCGGAACGTCTGCCGCTCTCCGCTCTCCGGGATTCTGAGGAGTAGAGTTTGCCATCCGGTGCTTTTAGCGACGGCCGACGCCGGTTGAGTCACCGGCTTCAACCTCCTTTTCTGGCTTGGGTTTGCTAGATTTTTCTTCTTTGTTCGTGTTGCATTTAGAGGAAGAGCTTGCCATTGGGCTGCTTCGCTGGGCCAACTCCATAAAGTGGTTGTTGTCTTGACCCAATGTGTTGTTGAATTAGCCACTATCGATTCATTTACGATCAATGGCTTTCGGTGGTGAGGCTTGTAGTATTTATGCAAATGCATGCCAAGTATTTGTAACAAAAGAAGAGGAGGGGAAAAGGCCAATTGAAGGTTGTAGCTGAGTTCTTGAGGCTAGCCCCTCTATCCCCGGGCAGATATTCCCGGCTCGGAGAGAGGAGATTATCGACCGCGCCCTTCACTAGACTCCAGCCAAGTCGCGGGCGAGGCTTACCCAAATCAACGAAACAGGAAGTGATTTAAGTAATCGCTTGCCTCTTTTGTTCTTTACGGTTATGGAGCCGATTTGGCCCCCCGGTGGCCCCCGGTGGCCCAGTTAAACACCACATACATAATGGCAATTCAGCCGGTGGCCAGCCAAAACTTTTCCCCCTCCTCTCCATCTTTTCCTTCCATTCATCTTTCCAACAGACAGTTATCCTCTTTGTCACTGACGGATTTGTTTCGCCTGACTGTCACCTATTCTCACTTCGGAAGTGAGAAAGGTTTGGGCGGTTAAGATGAATCATGGTCAGGTACTCAGTGAAAAATATGACAAAGAGGATATCTTGCCGACTTCCGAGCCTCACACGAGCAACAATGACCAAGGAGCTATGAGCGATGAGACTGAAAAGGGGAACCTAGATTTGATGATTGAGTCTTCGGATCTGCAACCAGCAAACAATGCACCCCCTCCGCCCCCAAACGGAGGCTATGGATGGGTTGTCACTGCCGCCATCTGCATCATCAACGCCCATACGTGGGGCATGAACTCAAGTTACGGAGTCTTCTTGGCGTACTACATCAAAAACAACACTTTCCCCGGGGCAACGACTCTACAGTATGCCTTTGTTGGCTCCCTCAGCATTAGCTGCGCCATGGCCATCTCACCATTCGCAACCATAGCCGTCAAGAAATACGGCACTAGACAGGTGATGCTCCTTGGCGTTGTTCTTGAAGCAGGCAGTTGGATTGCAGCAAGCTTTGCCTACAAGATATGGCATCTCTTCCTCACCCAGGGCGTTCTCTTTGGCATCGGCATGGGATGCCTCTTCACAGCCACGGTGGGCATTATCCCCCAGTGGTTTACGACTCATCGCTCCTTGGCCAACGGTATATCCGCTGCCGGCTCAGGCATGGGAGGTCTTATCTACTCATTTGCTGCTGGTGCCATGATTCAGAACCTTGGGCTTGCGTGGGCCTTCAGAATCCTTGGAATCCTTGCATTCGTCGTGAACTTCACCTGCAGTCTTTTAGTTAAAGATCGCAACAAGATTGTAGGATCGACGCATCTGGCTTTCAAGAGTACTCTTTTGACGAGAGCCGAGTTCCTGCTGTTTATCTTGTTCGGTTGGTTCAGTATCCTGGGCTATGCTGTGGATATTTTCAGCCTTGCCAACTACGCCAACGAGATTGGCCTTCAATCGTCTCAGGCTGCTCTCATCAACGCATTTTTCAACTTGGGCCAGAGTATTGGCCGCCCAATAATGGGGTATTTCAGTGACCGAACTGGACGGATGAACATGGCCGCCATCTGCAGCTTCTTGGCTGGTGTCTTTTCGCTGGCCATCTGGATCAACGCCAGAACATACGGCGTGCTGATCCTCTACTCTATCGTATGCGGTATGGTTGCCGGCACATTCTGGACAGTTGTCGGACCTGTCGCAGCCGAAATTGTTGGGTTACAAGATGTGCCATCTGCCCTTAATATTATGTGGTTGATGATTCTGCTTCCCTGCACTTTCAGCGAGCCAATTGCTTTGCAGATTGTGACTGGAACTGGAAGTTATTTGGGCACTCAATTATGGACAGGCCTGATGTTTATTGCTGCTACAATCTGCATGGTTATACTTCGCGGATGGAAGATTGGTGAAATCGACGAGCTTGCCAGAGCACACAACGAGAGACCGGAGGATGTCGATCGATATAAGACGAGCGATAGCGAGGAACTGATCGAGCAAGGAAGAAAGGCTGGTCGACGACGAATGCTTGTTGATTTTTACAGGAAGAGGGTTGTCTGAGCATCAATGGAGGGTTTCCAACTATGATTCGTGGTGATGGAAATCAAGGCGATGACTATCAAAACGGGAGGCGAATTACGAAATGGCAATTTAACGAACCGTCATGTCAGTTGCAGCTGCGATTGTCTTCATGTCATTGGACACTCGGCTTTGGATATCAACAGCTTGGCATATATGGGGTTTATGGCGCAATATAATTTCATATGGGAGCAATTTTCTTGATATAATAGCTATTTCCCAGCATTTTACGAGTTCATGTATATAGAAAGAGTATAGATTAATATTTGGAAGCACATAAACACTACACTTTCCCTCACCGTATTTTCCACCTCGGCTATCAAATTTGGCTATTAACAATCATTGTTGATATAAAAACCATTTACTACAATGCCTCCATGCCAGTACATTCACCCAATAAGAGAGTTAAAGGTCAATGGCGAAATGCTTCTCCTGCGAAATGGTGATGCGACCCCTGTAAATCACAGGGATTAAACGTGTAAAGCGGCACGTGAATTGGCGTTGAACGGTTCAGGCACCGACGCGCCGCCCCGCAAAAAGTTCACGACACCACATCACAGCGTCATTGCAGATGCGCCGCAAGAGATGGCCTGTGGCCTAGAATGAATCACAGCCCGTGGCGATGTGGCTGCTGGAAAATGAAGAAGCCTTCCAAGGCAAGTGAGACATGCGCATTTGGCCAGATGCGGTACTGACCGACCTGTTTTGTGTGTAGGGCGTCGACTTTGGCTGCGTCCAGGCAAAACGTACCTCTTTGGGAGGACAGCAGTGGAGCGTAAGTTGATGACCTGCATATCTTTTGGTGGATTCTACGGGTGCTGATTGAGATGGGAATAGCTGGCCTGCTGGCACTGTCGCACAATACCATCTCGCGGAAACACCTGACAATCACCGTCGAGAACGTCATAGAAGGACACGCACACAATTTATCGAGCCGGTCACACATCAAGATTGAAGATCTCGCAACGAAGATAGGGACGGTGATCAATGGACAAAAGATCAAGGGAAGCATTTACGATACTCAAGTTGAAGAGTACGAGATTATGCTGGGCAAGTGTCCGAATAAGTTTCGGTATTTCTACCTGGCTGGAGCGAGCGAATGCTATCACGGTTGCTGACAGAAAATAGGCTGAAATGGCACCCGACAGTCTTCACTTTCTCATTTACAAACAAAGAACTTCAAACCCAGCCTCTGACATCTCTTAAAGAGCGGTTCGAGCAGCTAGACATCAAGCTGTTGACAGACTACAGCGTAAAGCACACGACGCACGTCATATCGAAGAAGCGAAATACAGCCAAGGGCCTACAAGCACTCATAAATGGCAAATACATTGTCACGGAGTCTTTCCTCGATGCCATATCCTCTGTAACGGAGCTCTCCAATGGCGCGGATAGCCAAGAGTCGAGCTCTCTGGAAACAGACTTTGACAAGTTTTGGCCCAACGCATTGGAGCACCTACCAACGCGTGGTAGCGAGCCAGTACAGCACCCAGACGAAATGTATGCGCCTGATGATCGAAGAAGAGACGTATTTGAAGGATATACGTTCATCTTCTATAGTCAGATTCAGTATGACAACCTCATGGCGCCGATCACAAACGGAGGTGGAAAGGCTATGCTACATCCTATTGAGCCAGAGGCTACGAGGGCGGATGATTTTGTCCGATATGTAAAGGGAGTTGCAGGTGAAAAGGGATCCGGATCCTTTAATGATGGTAGTGAGGGTAAGGGAGTTGTCCTGGTGAGGTTTTTGCCGGCCAAAGGAGAGCTTGTTGGCTGGTACACCGAGTTCATCACTGCAGTCTCACTGCTACTGGACCACAGGCCTATTGAGCAAAACGAATTTCTGGAAGCAATTCTAATCAACGATGCAAGCCAATTGCGACGACCACTGGAGACGGAATCGTCCCTTAGAGTCGATGACTCAAGGCCAGTGGAAAGCCTGCAGCCTGAGCAGACCACTCAACAGAGCCTGAACAGTCAATTAACACCAGTGGTGTCTCAGTCCTCCCAACAGATTGATTCACAGCCCATTCCCAGGCGAAGTCGACTACGGAAACCAGTCAAGCGAAGATTTGGGGGCTTCGATGATGACGATGACGAGATGGGGATAGACGAGCCCCCTCCAGTTAGGGAACCTGCAAGACAACAACCGCAACCCCAAGAGGACGAGGGAGGGTTATTTGTGTCTCAAGAACAAGATGCTCCTTTCGTGCCCGACGATAATGATGCCAACTTTCGATCACAGAGAAAGAGGCCGCCCTCTCCCATACCGGAAAGCGATCTGATGGAGGGGATGGCACCAGCAGTAGCAAAGTTTAAGCGGCAACGCCTTGAGAGGGGAGAACAATTCGCAGCACCCTCACCCGAACCTGAGAGAGAAGAGCCTGATCAGGCAAAGGCAAAGACCGGGACCAAGAAGAAGGGGAACGTGAAGGAGGAGGAGGAGGAGGAGTTAGACGTTTTAGCAGTGGCCGCAAAGAATCGTGAGGAAGCGGAGGCTCGGGCTCGGGCTGAGGCCGAGGACCTAGCAAATCTACCAGAAGGCATTGACTTGGCCGAGATTCGTCGGCTTAATATTGTGGAAGAGATTGAGCTGCGTCCTACGGAAAGGGGGTCAGACAGGACGAGAGAACAGGATATTGCAGATGGGCGGTGGAATCCCAAGTGGAACGGAATGAAGAACTTCAAAAAGTTTCGGAAAAGGGGAGATGTGGTAGGGAGGCAGCCCGCCAGAGTCATCATCGCCCTCACGGAAGTCAAGCCCAAAGAATTTGGGGTTGGCGATAACTACTGGCTGGAAGATGTCAGCAGTGACCGGAAGAAGACAATAAGCCAGCCATCTGCTGTCGGTGCTAGCGAGGCAAGGAATTCTCCCTCTCTGGCACCGGAGCCGACGAGGCGAGGTACGTCGGCGCGAGTTATCGACTCGGATAGCAGTGACGTGGATGAAGCGGCAGAGCCAACGCCAGATGGAACTGGGTTACAGTCTCAGAGTAGTGGACGGAGCCAGCTTTCCAGCGCAAAGTCTCGGGCGACTGGTCAGGGGAAGAGAGTGGCCACGGAGCCGGCCGCTGCTAATAACCCGCCGCCGGCGAAGAGGACGAGGGTGGCGCCGAAGTTGCTTGAGGTGGCGGATAGCGACAATAGCGATGACAGCGACGACGATCTCAAGTTTAGATTTGGCAAGAGACGGTAGTTGGTGGGCAAGGGGTGACACTGGATCATGCTCCAGCTACACACCTTGTACATGTAATCTAATCTGCGTACATGGGGGGTATCTTTCTCTAACTAATGTATAACATCTATAGTCTATGCTCTTTGCCGTGCCCATCCTGCTTCTTGTTTGCTCATGTGTAGCATAATCTAATCCATCTTGTCCATTTCACCCTCCTTGCCGTCCGTCTCATCAACCAGCAGTCCCACAAGACACGCTGCCAGCATAGTCTCATAGTTGACCCATGGATGAATCTCCCCAAACAACTTGCTGCCATCCCGTCCCGCACCCCTCATCAGCTCTGGCACGCCTCCAGGATGAAATTTGGCATACGGCGTGACGTTGTACACTTTCCCGTTGATAGCCATCCACGCATCCTTGCCCTTGCGCCCTGTCTGCACCTTGAGCATCGACGGCGTCACGCGCAAATAGGGAGTCGAAGACTCCACGCCGCGCAGGTCGGCGCTGGGACCAGATATCCTGGCCCAGTCCAGCGGAGAGTGGCCGGGCGTTAGGACGACTTGGCGGCTGGGCTTGGAGGGTTTGGCGGAGAGCGTCGGAGGAGGGGCGAGGCCGGAGGAGGATGCTGAAGGGCCTCGATTGGGAGCCGGGCCGCGGGCACGCTGCGCCGAGTTGGGAGCCGGGAACTGGTTGAGAGAAGGAATGCGGCCGTTGGGACGGGATGAAGGGAGAGGCGGCGGTGGCATCATGTTATTTGAGGTTGTTGGCTCGGCGAGGGAGAAGCTAGGGACAGGTAGAGCTGGAGTTGCGGCGTGAGCCTTGGGCGTGGTTGGAGATTCCGGCTCTTGGATGGCTGGAGGGACAATCGTTGGAAGTGAATTAGGGGCGCCATCTTCGGGCTTTCGCTGCCTCAGAGTCGAAGAGCCTCGTTCCGCCGAGGTCGTTGCTGAGGATATCCTCAGTTCAATATCGTCTGACGGTTCGATGGCGATTTTCGGCGCATCCGCCTTGAGTCGATGCTGCCCATCATCTTGATGTCGATCTCGATCTGATGATGCCTTTGTCTCCTTGCCGTCCGTGATGGCGGCGGGCTTCCCAACGCTCTGCCATGGCAACCACAGCCACGGCGGCGGGCGCAGGATAACGAAGACGACGGACGCGACAATGAGCGAGATGCCAAGCAGGGCCATGCTAGGCTGCGCTGAGACACGAAACGGTTAAAGAAATGAAGAAATTCCAGACGTTGATGCTAAGCAGTCAAAGGATGACGGCAAAGGCATGCATGTGGTCTCTAAATTTGGGACATCAGGGGGTCCCGTCGTCTGTCGCAGCCAATGGGGTCCGTTTATTGCTGCGACCGGGACGTCGTTAGCGGGAGACCAGGCACGAGGCGCTACACCCGGATGGGCATAATTGCGAATCCTCGGCTTTTTCGTTGTTTTGTTTCATCAGGGGAGCTGAGCTCGGCTTCGTCTGAAATACCTTTCGGGGGGCGTCGGGTTTTGCTCGTGTTTGATTTTTCTACTCGTTGTTGAGCTAGCATTTATGGGCATGGCACAGCGAATAAATAAACAATGGGCGATCCGACTTGGCCCTCGTGACTGGCGCTATGTTTGGCATGGCTGAGAGAACGACTAAAAGAAGTATGGATGGATGGATTTTAGGCATGGATGTGTGCACTAATTTATACGGAGGTTTTGGATTTTCTTCGTCGGGTAGCTTAAATCTGCTCATTCGATGCAGATCTCGTCTACCGGAGCAAGGGGGGCAGTTGAAGACATTTGCATGCACGGGAGTACTCGTATAACGTATTGTATATTACTGTCCATGGCATTAAAAAGCAGATGAGCAGATGCAAAGCAGTGCTACCTAGTATTCGTATTAGTAGCGGCAGTGGTATTGCATCAAATCTATCTTTATCTTGCATTGTCGCATATATCCACCGCCCACATTATACACAGCTTACACCGAGTATCGCGCCTCACAACACCAGCTCCATATGGACACCTCACCTAACCCAGCATGCCAATCCCTTATTACTGCTGCTGCTCCTACCTACCGTACTAGGTAGTTTAGTCGTCTGCAAACGCACGATGCTAATGTACTCGGACGGAGCACGACCGCTCTGTTACAGCATGTGCGTGCAGCTGTGGATGCTCTTCGCTCGCTCCCATAGGATGCATCTGCTCTGCACTCTTTACCGCCTTTCTGGATACAGACTTGCGGGGGGGCAAAAACCCTGTGCTGTGCTTGCGCTTAAATGGATTGGGCCATGACTGCTGCGTGTGCGTGCTTCTCCTCAATCGTCAGACGATTCAACAACAGCATCGCCGACTTTTTAAAGCGTCACCAATGGCACATGTCTTCAATATCTCAGCTCATGGTCGCTGCTCCGTCCCCCGTGCTCCGTCCCGTTACCGTGCCCGTGCCTGTAACTCTGGTACATTTGATCCCTCCATAGCTGCCGTCCCGCTGGGCTTAGTGGACACTCTTCAGGCAGTCCCGGCTCCTTTTATCCCTCCACACACCCCCTAATTTCTGGCCCGGGCTAGTCGTCACAGCGGCCTTAATTACCTACCCAAGGGAGCCATTTGGCGGCTGTCGAGCGACTTTGGACGCCCGGACGATGCGCTCAGTCAACCCATACTCAGACACCGTCGCCGACAACCCAAATCCAACGAACCCAAATCCCAAGCCAAAACCCAAATCCAAGCCTCAACCGCCCGCCTCGCGCCTTTCCGCCTGCAAAACCGCATCCAAGCGACCAGCCACCAACACCGCGACGACCGCCGCAGCTCGATTGGGCACGCCTCCACTGCCCAATCCCCAGGGATCGCCCCTCATCCGTCCGCCTGCTGCTCGACAGCCGAATCAACATGTGCTTTCTGTGAGGGCTGCCGCTGCTCCAATTACGCGTTCATCCACCAAGAGGGACGCTGCCACGATGCCTCTCGGCGACAAGCCTCGCCAGCCTCAGCTGAGCGCGGCTCCTCCCCGAAGCATGACCCGAACGCCCCTGACTCCAAAGGTCGCCGTCAAGGGCCCGTCCGCGACTACGCCGCTGGCTCGCAAATCCGGCTCTTCTGTTGTCGGCGCGCAGTCGCCGCATGGCGAGGGCGCCGCTGCTCCTCCGGCTTCATATCTCAGCCATACCGTGACCCCGCGGTCGGCGCCCCGACAGTCCCGTGCCGACAGCGTTCTCTCGGCGCAGAGCAGCACGGTGAGCATCGACAAGTCCAACGACGGATGGGAGACGAGGAGCAACCGCGGGCTGGGCATGTCGCCTCTGGCACGTACCGACAGCCTGAGCTCCAGGAAGAGCATTGGAAACTCATCAAACGGACCCGACAACGACTCCAAATTCTTCTACGCGAGCAGCATAAAACCCGCGGCCCAGGCACCACCGCCCCGACCAGCCTCGGTTGTTCATACTAAGAGTACGCCGACCTTCTTTTATGCCAGCGATGCCGCCAGCAAGCGAGTGACGAGTCCCCCGGCATACCCCAGCTCAAGCACCCATTCGCTGAGCTCGGCGCAAGAGGGTGTTGCTACCAAGTTCTTCTACGCCAATGGCACGCCAGATGTTGACAACAGACTGTCAGCGCGCAGTTCTGGATCGGGCTCGACGGTCTCGAGCGGCTCCAAAGCAACGCGCCCCAACACCAGCAACTCCTCAAACGTGGGATCCAGCACAACCCAGCATTACTCGCGACCAGCATCGCCTTCCAAGAACCTAACACATCCTACACTACCGCAACAGCAACATCATAAGCAGCATCCGCCACCACCGCTACGGGGCAGCGCCATGTCTCCCTCGTCTCCGATTAGAGCTTCGGCTCAACCGTCTCCGATAAGGTCTTCGGCCCAGCCATCCCCGAAGCTGGCGTCCACCACAGCCCAGGGCAACAAAAGGCGGGTGAGTATTGAGGCGCCTCTACGGTTGAACCAGGGGCACGGCCGGACGGGCAGTGTCCAGTCTGTAGATGGGGTAGCAGCACCAAAGCTTGCCTCGCCCACTATGGCACCACCCATGATTCACGCGCCTGAAATGACGCCGCCGCTTCTAAGTCCCGCTTTGCCGCAATTAGCGCAGCCAGTGACGATGGCTTCGATTTTGCAAATGGCCGATGAGTTGGACGATGAAGAGGACGAAGATGATGAGGATGGGAGTGAAGAGGGGGAGGACGGAGAGGACGGGAACAGCGATGACTCAGACGCCGACTCCATCAGCCGGAAGAGGTCATCTCAAAATTCCGAGTCCCTTAACCATTTTGTCCTAAGCGCGCGGCGTGAACGCAAAGTTCAAGATCTCGAAATTACCAATGCTTCTCTTGAGGCCATCAACAAAACTCTCGAGAGGCAACTGCGCAAGCAGTCTGCCGAATTGCGCCGCTTCCGACGCCTATCTAGAGCTGGTCGCCTTACAGGCGGCTCTGCAGCCTCTACCCAAGGCGGAGCCTCTCTAGCAGTGCCTGATGCTTCAGGAGGTCTCACGGATGTTAGTGAGAAAGAGGAGGAGGCAGGCCCGGCAAATCACAACGACGAATACGAAGACGATGAAGACGAAGAGGAGGAGGAGGATGAAGATGAGGATGAAGACTCGCTAGTCGATTCTGAGTTGTCCAACGGAAATACAGCCGCCGACTCGAAATCTAACGGAGCACCGTTGAAGGCAGAATCCCCCGGGGATAAACGGCGCAAACGCGATGAGCGCCGTCTCCAACTCGATCTCACCAGGCACCAAGAGCTTCTGCTTGATAGCCAGAAGATGAACCAAAGTCTCAAGAAGTGTCTGAACTGGACAGATTTACTCATAAAGGAAGGGCAAAAGGCATTAGCCTACCGTGTCAGAATCGCTGATGTGGATGCCATGCCCGGCCGTGTCCTGGCAGCTTCATATTACGACTATGGCGATGACACATCTCAAGTTGAAGAAGACACAATATCTACCGTTTCTGTTGGGGATGATACCGTATCAATCATGGAGTCCGAAGCGGAAGTATGGCCAAAAGAATCACAGGATCGTGATAGCGGCATAGAACTGCCCGTCGCGGGCCATTAGATATCCGACATATCGCATACACCAGGGGGGAAGGGAAGGCAAGTCGACACATTATTCTTCATAAATCGGCCGATCGATTATTTTATTTCCACGGCGCAAACATTTCTTACTCTCGCTCACATCACCACTCATGGATTTTCAAGTTTTTTTCCTTCTCTTCTCGGACCCTTTCTCCTCTTTGCTACACTGCTGCAAATTTTCTTTTTTCTCTTTCTATCCTTACCTTTTTTTCTTTTGTATTTGCGACAGCATATACTTTTTTCTTTTCTTTTTTATTTTGCACGTATAGTTGCATCTCGGGATATCGGGGATACATGGCGCTCATTTGGATTTTGCATGGCGTTTTTTATGCTCTATATTTTCCTTTTTCTCTTACGCTGATACTAGATTCGGCTTCTTACTCTTTGCGTTGATGAAGGCCATGATCACTCTATTCTTCCAACCACCCGCTGTCTCCATTCCTTTTTTTGCTTGAGAGCTACCTCATATATATCCCCAAATACCCTTCTTCGACAAACCCGAGTGCGAAAAACCCACCCTCGTTATGTAAAGGGGGAAAAGCTAAAAACATTCACAACGGCTCTGACCCCCCTTTCACTCCGCAAAGTCCTTCTTTCTATATGATATCCTAGTCATATTTGACTACCTCAGTTGTTTTTGTCGTGTTTTTTTTTGTCGTTGTTTTTCCAAATGTGTAAGATACCCGCAGAGGCAAAGCAAAGGACGAAAGAGAAAAAAAGAAAGGGGAAAGCTTACGGAACACACCACATCAAATGCGCCGCGAACGAAGAAAAGACGAGACGCGCCTTTTCTTTATTTTTATTTTTCTTGATGTTGTTTGTTTGCTTCTTGTTTTTTCTTTTGAAAGAAGAGAAAGAAAAGAAAAAAACAAAAACTTTTATATATCGTTAAGCCGTGATAGGCTATAACAACGTAACGAGCTCGCATGTTCTCTGGATATACAAAGGAGAGGAAACTGCATTATTTTTATGTATGTGTGAGATATAGAACACGCTGCTTTCGGTGATGATGGAAACGGAAATAGAAGAAGAAAAGCGATTATGCCTTCCATGGTTTGGTTTTTTTTGGGTGCTTGTGTGAAAACATTATGCTTTGGTGACTTGTGAGAACAAGCAGTGTAAATATGCTGAAATTCGACTAGATGACCCCAAGAATATATAAAAGCCAGCAAGAGAACGAATTCTTAGAGGAACTATTTATTATATTCTGAAAGAAGAAGAAACCCCAAAGCATGCATATAACATGAGAAAAGTCTGCCAGACAAAAAAAAAAAAAAAAAAAAGTGGGTTGTATACTCTATATAATAAATATGCCGATCGCTCTCTATCCGGCAATCTTGACATTATTTCTCTAAACAAACAAATTCTCAATTTTCCATTTTCCCTTCTCACGTCTCCCGTCCTCCCTCCACGAACCATTAAACGCCACGTCCTCAAACTGTACATCTTATGGCGCAGTCTCCGATTTGGGCACGTTAGGGGCATCCTGAGCAATCTCCTCTGCAGTCTTGGACTTCTTGTCCTTCTTGTGCTTGTGATCATCCTTGTCCTTCTTGATGGCTGCTTCGGCGACGAGCTGCTCAAAGAGCAGATAATCGCCCTCTTCTTCGGGAGAACGTTCGGCCTATAAGGGAGAGGACAGTTAGAATAAAGGTATCTTTTAAATACTTTACATTGAAGAAAGGAGAGGGAATAAATAGCACGAACCTTGAGGAAAATCTCGCCAATCAGGACGAGCGCCTGCGCTCGCTCCAGTCGCTTTGACAACGGAACCTTCTTGTCGTTCAGGACAGTATCGCACACCTCGCGCAGCACGCCCTGGATCTCAAATCTGCTGCCTCTCCACGCGGCCGTGAGGATCTTGCCCGTGACACGGCGCTCGTACTCAACACGCTTCTCCTCTGTCCAGTCCTCGCCTCCCCTCTCTTCCATCTTGGCCATGTCCTCCACTGTCTGCTGCGCATCAATGGCACTGCTAATGGTGTTCCAGGTGTCCTTGACCAGTGTGCCCTTGTCCTTTAGCTTGCTGAAGAAGCCGCCGATGCCGAGGAACTTTTGGCTGCGCAAAAGGGTCGAGGCCTTGGACATGTAAGTCTGGCCGATGGCATGAAGGATGTCGATACCGAATGACTCCATCTTGAGATTCTCCACCTCGAGTCGCATCTTCTCCTGGAAGGCTCGTGTTACGTCGGCGCCCTTGTCTGTCTCCGTCCACACGCTGACCCTGTCCAGCAGCTTCCGTGTGAGGGCCTCAACGCGCTCCTTGCGAATGCGCGCGCGCTCTTTCTCATAAGCAAGCAGCTTTTCCCGCTGTTCCTTGCTCATCCCACCCTTCTTGCGTTCCTTGCCTTTGAGGTCCTCCTCGGTCGTGCCTACCTCATTTTCCATATCCTCGTGGGCCTTGTCCGTAAGCGCTGCTCGGATAGGGATGCGATTCCGGGAACCAAATGAGGGGGTCGGAGACGTGGCTTCCGATCGGGGCGGCGGTGTCGAGGTAGCAGATGGTGTCTTTGCCTTCTCGTCGTCCACCACCACCGTAGGCGGCGGCGGCACAGACGCGGAACCTGTGAAAGACTCTCGGTTCTCCTTCTCCTTCATGCTCTCCTTCATGGCCTCAGCAGTTCCCGGGAACTCGTCGTCCTCCTGCGGCGGCGCTGCCTCTCCTTCGCCTTCCTCTCCCTCCATGGCGATGTCCATTGTGGCCGCCAGATCCTTCATCAAGCTAATCTCACCGATCCAGTCGACAAAGGCCTCGCCGCCAAAGATGGCAGAGAAGAATTCGGCCGGGTCAACAAAGCCCTCCTGTGGCTTTGCGTGATCCTTTCCATATTTGTCGTAGGCCTTTCGCAGCTCCCCGTCGGAGAGAACCTGGTAGGCTTCACCGATGGCTTGGAACTTTTCGTGTGCGGTCGGATCATTTGGGTTCTTATCTGGCGTCAGGGCGGCCAGTTAGTCAGTGCGAAACAACAGAAAGAGAAAGAAACAGAATGTAGAGACGTAGAACGGGATGCGCCGCTAAATACCTGGATGGTGGACAATGGCCATCTTGCGGTAGGCCTTCTTGATCTCCAGCTCGGTGGCTGTCGGCGAGACGCCGAGGGTGTCATAGTAGGCCGTATCGACGACCATTTTGGATGATTGATGCTTATCAGGCGAATACGGCGCTTCAGATGTGTAGGTTTGCGAAAGCAAAGAAAAAGCGAAAAGGCTGGCTGCGCTGTTGGAGATGGAGGTTGTTATCGCGGCATTAGACGAGGGATGGCATATTCGCTCTCCGCAACCGAAATTTTGCCCAAGATTGAGTGTGCTTTTGTTTCGTCGGCGCTACGTAATGGCGGGGCAGTGCCTGCTAGGCTTGAACAAAGGCCAGATTTAGTGGCGGGTGGTAAGAAAATTGCAAATCCGTTGCACCAAGCATAACAGCACCCTTTCACATGAAAGTCCGCATGTCGCCTGCTGGTAGTCACCGGGATTCCGGGTTATAACACAGTCTGCAATACATGACAATCACTGTCGCAAGGATATAGAAGAGTATATCTCGAAATAGTCGCCTTACTAACTCAAATCAAATACCAAAGAGAACGCGGTGTATTCTTGTCGAAGCTACCTGCTACTACCTAGGTAGTAGTAGGAATCTAGCCATCAAATACAGATGAATATCACAAGCGACAACGTGCGCCAACTAGGTGGGCGAGATACTCTCAAGAAGGGCCAATAAATAATCCACATGGCTGAGCCATCAACGAATCATGACAAACCCAATATCAGACTCATTTGATTCCCGCGGCTTTCATGCGCTTGAAGCACCTCTTGTAGGCTTCATGAATCTCGGGAACCCCGTATTTATACTCCCCGAGCTTGGCCACCAGCTTGGTCGTGTCCAGTGTGCAGTTGCTGCGGCCAGCCTTGATGACTTTGGCTTGCTCTTCCAGGGTAAAGTTCTTCCAGCTAAATTCTGGCCTCACAATTTCCTTGAAGAGCTGGAGAACCTCGGTATGAGAGATAGAACCCGGGTTGGTAAAGTTATAGACGCCAGTCTGACCATGCTCTGCAAGAATGATGGAGGCAGGCAGAAGATCATGCAGCATGGTGTTGCTGTTGGGAATGTCAACCACTCTCTCATAGCCAAGGAGCTTTGTCACAAAGTTTCGCGGATGAAGGTCATCGCTAACAGGCATGCGAAGACGAAGGATGAGGCAGTTGGAGTAGCTGCTGAGAATCTATAAACATGTTAGCCTCGTTACATGCTATATGAATCCACTTAGATAACTTGACTTACCGGCTCCACGTGGCTCTTGGTCAAAGAGTAAAAGCTTCCTTCAAAGTTTGGGCGGTCCTCTTCCGTATAGCCACGCCCTCCGATGGGGTGCGTCTGGTCGTACTGATACACACAGCCAGTAGCGAAGATCGTACAATGGATCTTGGCTTGAAAGCAGGCATCTGCCAAGTTCAATGTGCCAATGACATTGGATCGTACCGTCTGGGACTTGTTGTCTTCACACCAGTCGACATTTGGTCTCCCAGTACATCCGGCAGCATTCAGAACGTGTGTTGGCCTGGTAAGAAAGAGTTCCGAAAGCACAGCCTCACGATTTTCCATACGGATTGTTGTCGTGTGAACTTCTTTGCCCTGCTCCTCCAGAAGGCGCTTCAACTGACCGGCAATCCAACCGTTGCCTCCCCAAATGAGGAAGCGTGGCTGCTGGAAATGGTCGTCAAGACGGTCGTTTGCTTCCCAAGCCGCCATTGTCATGAATGTATCTGGCGTGAATTGTGGAGGACTCTCTGGCTTTTGGTTGCAGAGTATAGCAATGGTAGGTGAACCTCTCAATAGTGAAGTTTTCCTGAGAAGTTGGAGAATGAACATATTCAGACATGATCAAAATCAGAGATGGCAAGACACGGCAGTCACATTCGGGCTGGGGCCGAGTTGAGGAAGGTGCTGCTGTTCGTTCTTGCTGTACAAACTTTTTTCGGTTT